AAATGTAAACCCAGAATAGGTTTCAAGATATTCTTCACTTCAATTTCCTATGATTAGGGAGAATAATTATCCTTGTACCACTCCTATTTAGGTTTGAGCTAGTGGGAAAAATAAAGTACACGTTCCAGTGGGAAGTCCCTGCAAACACGCACCCATTCAATCTGTGAACCCACTACTTCAGTTGTCCTTAACAAAAGTGTTTTAGAATTAAGTAATTCCACTTTCCACTTCTTCAGTCATTCAACACAAAAGATCATCAGCACATTCAGTACGGGCTTTTTGTTTCATGCGAGTCCTCTCTTCAACCTCTTTCAAGTTCAATGTGCAATTGAGATAGTGGTGGGTACCCTTGTTTTTCAGCTGGTGGAAAGATTACAAGAAAGAATGAACAATTCATCTGAATGTTCTTTTGAGCCCAGGATGCAGGGGTGAAGCAGAGCAGAAGTTCTCAACAACTTCCATTGTGTATACCCATTTTCCTGACTCCCTCGTGGGATAAATGCTCACAAAGAAATATCCAACTCTCTCCTTGTTATCTTTCTGCTGTGAACTTCCCTGTAGCTAAAGTTTCCAATTTTTGTATTAAAGCCATTTTGACCCTCTGTCCTAGTAACCCGTCTGCCTTACTAAGTATCAGAACTGTGGAAACAATTTTATTCAGAAGCTTAATCAATAAGCTAGGATGTATATTCTTGAATATCTATTTTTTTTTTCCACTTGCTAATTGACTAAACTGATGATAAAAAGTTAAATTAAAGAATGTCCACAGAAAAGCACTTAAAAGAATTATGCAGAAATTAAATATAATTACTGGTGAGTACCATAAGTATGTGCCAAGATGGCATGTGCTAAAGCAGAGTGTGAAGTTTGGCCATTTTATGTGACTGTATCTGGCACACTAAGAAAAAAATGGAAATAAAACCCATGTAAAATGTAAGGAAATTTTCTTGGTTACTATTTTATGATTTCTCTATTTTCAGAATATTAGATAATAATGATTTCCCTAACAAAGGCAATTTAAAAAAAAACAAAAAACAAACACCAACGAAACAACAGGTAGTTTTTACCAACATACGCTATAAAATTCACTTTAAAATTCAATTTATAAAGTTAACAGAATTTAAAAGTATGGTTTTGTTTCTCAGAATAAAACAAATTCTATTTTTCAAAAATTTTGTCAATTCTTCATTGCTAATTTTTAATCTAATAGATAGTTAAATAAATTAAGAAACTTAGAGAACCCTGTGAGCTTCTAACCTCTCCTGAAATTAATGAAGGGTTCAAAACTTGCCCTCTTAAGATGACTATCCAATTATCCAAATCCTCCCAGCTAGCATTACTGATTGATGCGTCCCATATATGCAGTACTGCACCAGTCAGCACTTTTAAAGGGTTAACAGAGATTTGAAATTAATCTGTGACTTCAACATTTGAATTTTGTCATTTATAAACCTACCAGACTTTTAATGGCAATACTGATTGATGTGGCTGTACAAGACAGAGTGTTGAGTACATACAGAACAGATGTCTTATTTGCTTATATAGACAACACTAACTGTACCTAGCTCAACTCTCAGTTGTTTCAGTAGCAAAGAAAGGCAATATCCACAGTAATTTTGTATGCTGTACTAACATTACAAATCATATCATCCCCATTTAAATGCTATTCAAAATTACTTCAGCCACAGAAATTCAAACAACATTCAGGCAGAATGGGACTAAGGATGTACTACATAGTAGAAACATCAGTTCGAGTGAAATATTGCACTGTGTACTGGAAAAGATAACATTTTACTTCCAACCAACAAATGTTTCTGGAAATTAACTTTATGGTCCCAAGGATTAAGTCACAACATTTCTCATAAAAAATGATTAATCTTTACAAAAAGGCAGGAAAATGAGACAGCTACTGCCGCCCACTTTGACATTTTCGTTCTTTGAAAAAAAAAAACCAAAAAAAAATACACAACAAAAACCAAAACACAACAAAAAAACCTGAACTAGTTTATGAACAACAGCTATCAGTAATACAGATTGCCAGATGAAATAATTTATCAAGCATATTTGAGATAACGATCTTTTACTCTCTGCATTAAGAAAACACAGTGACATTAAACGGCTTTACTAAGAAATCTGATAAGCTTTGCCATTGAACACACAAGTCCTGAGTAAGAAAGAGGTCACATTTTCTATAACAGCTATTTAAGCCTTATAGGAACACAAATAACCATATCGTTGTTGTTGTTGTGTCCAATTGATGCTTGAAGTCCCACTCATTTGTAGAAGGCTCACCCAAGAATCCTTTCAGCCATTTGAACACTTGCACTTAATTTCCACAGAAAGTAAAACAAATAAAACCCCTTTCCTTCAAACAATGATACTTCATTCCAGTGCTCTCACTTACTTGAGTTATTTTTTCAACACCTTGAAAGCCATGTTTCTCAAAATGTTCAGCTATGTTTAGGAAGGTATGACGTTCCAGATAACGGCAGTTACTGAGTGCAATTAAAAGCCTCTGTTCCTAAAAATTTATATTAAGAAAAGAAAGAGTACAATAGTTAGAAAAAAGAAATATCAGCATGACCAATACTGCAAATGTATAGTATTTTATTGACTCTGTGTGTTTGATAAACATGCTGTAAAGTGGTGTTTACAAATATTTTTGTCAATGAAACACCAAGAACTGAGTGAATATCAGGTATGATGGTTGAATATGCATGCTTGTTCTTACAGGATCTAGAGCATTCACTGGAATAGCTGTGACTAATACAGAATCATGGTTAAGACTTCTTTACAAAAATTAGGTTTGGACAGCTTTCCAGGAAGCTGTTTCTGGCTTTTACTTTGTTTCAAGAAGTATGCTAAGAATTATTATGACCTTCATAAAATTAACTGAAGATCATCTTCACTTTCACATGAAGCTGGCTAAAACCAGGGAAGCAAACCAGGTACTGAATGAATGCACTCACCCATTCTAAAATACTAGAAGGTTCAGAAGTACATAATGTAAATTCAGCAGTTAATTTGAAAAAAAAATTAGGTGGTTATAACTCATGTCTGTTCTTCAATGATTTTTTTAATTACAAGAAGGTCTACTACATTGTGGAGTTGAGATACCAGAATTGCCTTTCCCTGACCTCGGTGCAATAAGGTGTAGTTTCCAAAGGGACAAAGAACCAAACAAGACAGAACTACTATTTAAATAGATTTAAATAGATTTGGTGTTCCCTCTTCCCCTCTCCTTCTCCCAATGGGAAAACATTTTTTTTCTAGTTCAGATGGAAGTTCAAAATCAATGCCAGAAAATATTCTGAAAACAAAATTATTTGGCAATGAAGTCATGGTAACAGTGAATATCTGATTAAAAATATTGGTAAGTGTTGCATTTTCACACTCAGAACAACTCCTGACAATTTTGTATTCCAGTAATATGACGACTAGTATTGAGATGTGCGGTTGCATACTACTTTAAATTATAATCAGTTGACATGCAGACTATTAAAAAAAATGATAATTTTAAAAATACAGTGACAAATCTTACTCTGGTAAATCACTTTCTCTTTTCTCATTACTCAATCAGGAAAGAAAAGATAAAGTCTTCTGTGATTTACATAAAAAAATGTGACACCACGGTAACTGAACATTGTCTAAAATTGTTGATTTCTTTTTTACTGAAACATTCATACCTATGACACATAGGAACAAGTCACAGCAACAAAAAGTTACTTTGACAACAATTAATGAAGATTTATGTGTTGCAAGAATAAAATGATATAAAGAACTAATTATTATAGTCTGCAATTCAGAAACCTGGCCTGATTTGGTAATCTGTGATTCTTTATTGTAGTAGGAATGCTTATTGCTCTTGTAAATGAGGCAAAGCTGGGCTTCTGACATTTAAAACCTGTACTAAGGAATATTGACTTCACAAGAGGTTCTCACTAGGTTTCTTGCAGGGATCAACTACATTTTTTTCCATCAGCCACCGCACTAGAAGAAAGTACATTAACCAAAGTCAAAGTGTCAAGAATATTAAAAACCTTTCTTCCAAGTTCCTAAAAACCAGACCCTAATACAAGCAAGCCAAACAAATAATCAATACTTACTCTCGGTAAAGTAGGTTTTTTGGGAAAAATCTACACTACTGAATATCTGTATCTTCATGGGCTTTAAAAAGTAACTAATAATCAGACCTGTTCTTAAAGCAAGGTGATAAAACAAAAGTCAGATCCTCAGCTGTCTTAACACCAGTGCTATTTTCACTGATTTCAATGCCATGTTAGTTTCTGAGGAGGACCTGGTTTCAAAAAATGTCTTCATTAGTTACCTTAAGAAGGTATACTAAGTTATCATAAACGAACAGTGCTTTTAAAAAGGGCCTTATATTCAAGCCTTATATCCTTGTATTTTCTTACACTTATATACATATGTATCTAAGAAAATGCCTCTAGAATACAGAACTGCTCTCTAAAGAAGGAAAGCAAAAACCAAACACTTAAAAAAAAGGACCACATTCCTGTGACTTTGAGAAATATTAAGTTTCACATCAGCTTTTAGAAATAGAAGCCAAACTTACTGAAGAAAGACTTGAGTCTTCATGAATGCTTCCAAACAAATCGGGAGATGAAACATCAACTGAAAGACTAGGAATATTGTTTAAAAAGTGAGTAGTATAGTGCTTTTGATTATCTGAATCATAGTGTATTCAAATGAACAGTTGGAACAGAGGACTGAAATCTCGTTTCAAGCCCCCTCACAACAGTTAAAGCACCTCACGTTGTTCAGTTTTTCTAAGATGTCCACAAAGCCTGCAGGAGCTTGGTGGAGAGACAGTACTATTCTAGCTACAAACCCTTCCTTCTTAAAGCATTTTAATTTTCTATAATTTCTCTGGTTTGCCACAGATTCCATTTTGGTTTTACACCTATTCAGCCAACAGAGTCGTCCAAATAGCAAAAAAAAAAAAAAAAAGTGGCATTAGGAACTTTTCTACTGTATATTGCAGGTACCAGTATTTGCCAAGCCTCTGGCTTTTGACAAAGAAATGATTGGTACTCTTGGAAACTCAAGCGATTCTGACTTGGTTTGGTCTCTAAAGTAAGTGGCTCATGAGCAATTATCGAAAAAACAAACTTTCAAGAACTTAGCAGAAATACCAACAGAACCAGTCAAAATAGAAGGGAAGAAAAGACAGGCAGGGGCCGTTTCTCCACGACTAGACATTACTTAGTGACAAGGACAACTCATTCCATGTAAGGTCCTGTCAAAAACAACATACCTGTTCCTACAGCATACAACTACGGTCATTAAATAAAATGGTATAAGCAATACCATATTCATTATTTTGTACAATATCTATCACATGATGTCCCTCAATTGTTTGGCATAAAAAGTATCTGCTCTTATTTCAAAGCATCACTAACCAGAAGCAAAAGTATTCACAAGAAATATGGAATACCAGAGGGAATAAAACCACACCACCACTGAAATTTGAGATTTGCACCCACAATTTCAGAATACTACACATAGGTCCTATTTATTTTACTTACTGTGCCGTATCTATGTCACCATCAGGTTTGGTGCTCAGTTGTTCCAAACAGTCTATGAAGACCTAGGAAACAATAAAAAAGAGCTACATTTTCTGCCAGAACAACAACAAAAAAAACCCCAACAAACCACCCCCACCCCCCAAAAACCAAACCAAAAAACCCAACTTAAATTCACTTTTACTATATCAACAGAAGCAGAACAATCATCATCACCTTTCTTTGTCCTAAACCTTACATAAATACAGTAACATTTTTGTTACACCTTTTAAATACATATTTTCAATTCTGTATGCATCACAATTTACTTGTAGCAAAGCACAGGAGTTATTAATCCTAAGTGATTCTCATCATGCACAGCTAAAATTATGCAGTGATAATCTGCTGATTTGCAAAGAAGGCATTGTTAATAGTTTTCAAGTGTTCAAGCTGAACAGTTGATCCCAAGTAAACATCGCAGAAGCATCACTGAAATCTATTTTTTGCTCTGGCTCATGATTTCTTATTTGAGAAGACTATAAAAATGGTTCAAAAGCCTAAAACTTGCAATTATCTAATTTCAAATATATTTAAACCCCCCCCTCGATTTTGTTAAAAAGAATATTTTTTTTCTGATAGAAAAATTAAAAGCTAGATCTTCAGCTGATGAAAATCAGCATTGCTCCTTTTACTGCAGTATATCAATGTTAGATGACATCAGCTCAGCAAGCGTGTCTCAGTCATCAGTAAAATCTTGAACAGTCACAATCAGTAAAATACTTGAATATGTCACTTACCCTCTGAGGATTTGATATCATCAGATTCGGCTAGTAAGCTCTACATACTTTTAAAAATCAAACATTTCTCAGTATCCCAGAGTGTATCAGAGGAACAACAGAGTCATCAACTTAAGCTGCCTTTTGGGAGGTGGGCAGGGTACAAAGCACACACTTTTGTTGATTGCTTGTGTTCACAATTTCACACTTACAAGTGCTCGAGTTACCTGCATGATCCCAATGCTTAGCTGGCACACATCTTCCTGTGTTTTCTGCTGCTGGAAAACCTGAAGATGCAAGCATATTATTGCAGCAGAACAGCTTCATGTGGCCTTACTCTCAGGGAAGGCCTGAGTAACCTATCCCTAGAGAGATGACACAATTATAGGAATGGCTGCTGGGACAGAGTGTTTTCTCACGGATCAATTTCAGTTTTTCCCTACCTTAAAAATGGTGAGAGAATATAAGTCCCAATAAGCAGTTTGACAAGTATGAAGAGATAACACATTAAAAGGAAAGAAGTCCTAGTACCTAGTACACGTGATACATATCATTGCTGGCTAAAGAAATTGCAGCAAAAGCTCCCAGGATAATCAAAGAACTTTGTACCCTAACAAAAAGGGCACAACACTATGGACTGCAGATTACTTTTAATAATGTTCATTAAGAAACTAGACAAGCTACCCGTAAAAATTAAAATAAGAGAGGAGAGAGAAACAGAGGGGTCCAAAGGACTTCCTTAGATCACTGAAACCTGAAAGAAAACATCAGTATCACAATCAGTCAGGGCCTCAAGGTACTAAGTGGATAGGGATAACCAGGACTCCTGATTTAGAATAAAATTTACAGAAGTAAAAAGCTGAATTCAAGTTCTGGAAGTCGTTGGATGCAACACTGAATGAAGCATAATTCCTAGGAATGCGCCCTCCCACCCCCCCCCTTTTTTTTCCATGTAAATAAAGTCACATCTACTGCCATCTGAAAATTACACTAGTAGGGTTTTTTCAAAAGAACAGCTTTAAAGAGTTAAATATAGGTCCAATCTGCCCCATACACACACAATTACCCCAACAAAGGAAACACAAACAGAATTCTAAAAGCTAGCAGCAGTGAAAAGGGTGTACAGGGAAAAAACAAAGAGGAAAGTTTCACCCCTGTATCATTCTCTGAAAGTTCTTGTTCTGAAACCCAACAGTAATTTACATAAAAAGAACAAAAATAAAAGCATAAATCAAAACTTACGCTGGCCTCTCCAGGTTTGCAGTCCAGCACAGTTTTAAGAGATTGCAAGGAATGGATAATGCACTGTTCAAACTGGGATGGCTGAAAGGCAAATGACTTGTTAGCTTTAGATAAGCATGTCAAATGTATACTACACAAATATATAAAAACTTCAATGCCACATGGTAAGCTCTTTATTTCCAAATTATCACAAATAAGGGAAAAAACAAAATAAAAGCACAATTTGTATATTACCAGAGGACCCTTTTGTAGGGATGTACTTTTGTACTTAAGTTATCTACAGAAATATTACCTTAGATCAATATACTTTTTTTTTTTTATCTGAATGAGAGCCTTCTACACCGAACAGCTCCCTCTAAAAGGGTCATGTAAGATTTTATATCTTGTTTGTGGTAGCATATAATGACAATTACATTACAGATGCCTGTGACACCCTCCCTCCTCCCCTCCTTGATCTAAGCTGGGATAGAATTTCACCTGGAATATCTGATATTTCTGCATTTTATTTCAGCAAAAGGTTTTTAAGAAAAATATATTGAAATTGTTTTCACATGGAGAAAAAAATTATCACAGGTTTGGAGGGCTTTCTTTTACCTTCAGGTTTCCAAACCTGAAGTACCAGTGCTTGATGCGTGTATCAGTTTCACTCTGAGAGTGCAAACGAGTTCACAGCATCAGTCATTAGTCAGTTTTTCCTTGTCTTTCTGTCTTCCTTGTTAAGTCACACCTATTTTTTTATTTTAATGAGGCTGCCTGCTGGTATTAGGCAGGAAGCTGTTATACAGGGCCACGTGAAGCACAGAGGCATCACTGTTCTAGGGGGACATCATCCTATTGGATTTGGGTCAAAGAGGTGGACAAAAAAAGCTTCTAAGCCATGTAAACCCGCTTTTCATCCAGTATATAGTTTATGGCAAATCACCAACTTTAGGCTTAGGAGTAACTTTTATTTCTGTAAATGCTAGGCTGGAGGTGGATCATGAAAGCGATGCCTGCATGGCAACCTGAAAATCATTAAAAAAGCCACTAAGACAATCCGTATTTATTATTTTTGGACCTGCTTGAAAGAAGAAGAACAGCAGTAAAGTGCTGCTCCTGTTTTTTTTGTTTCCACATAATAAAACATCACACCTCAGGAGAAGAAAACTGTTCAGACATGTTATCCTTTGGATATTATGAAACCGAGGAAAGTTGGTTCTGTGTCTTACTGTATCTTTTACCTGGAATATAAATGCTGAAGGGGTTATCAACCAGTATTTCCTGCAAACTTAAAATACAGTTTCTATCTCAAGACTAAAACGTTCCCAAAGAGACTGCTTGACCCTTGTTTGTACTGGTTAATTTTTGTTACAGTATTACCACAATGAACTCTACTTTAGTAGATAAATAACCCTGCTATGACAAAACATAGCCAACTGCCACCATTAAAATTTGGCACATCTCAACCATGGCCTCAAAAGGTACCTAGGGAAGTGGTGTATACAAGGAATTCATGGGTGATTTCTAAATCCAAAAAAGACCGAAGCTGTTTTTAAACAAAGATGGGTTAGGATACAGCAAAAGAATAAAGAAACAAAGCTTTGTGGAAGATCTTTCCTCCTCCCTCCATTTTACAGATGAATAGAATGAAAAACAGAAATGTTAAGGGACTTGCCCAAGTCAGCAGCAACTGAAACCAAGACCAGAAGCTGTAAATCTGGTTATAATACTACAATTGCCCAACAACACTCCTTCCTACAATGTGTCTATTGTGATTGCTTAATGCCCTCCTACTCAACTTCAAACATGTATTTATAGAAGCAAATAAGAAAACTAAAAAAGTCTGTGGAGCATTCTCTCAGATAATATACACAAAGCAACTCTCCCTCCCACAGGCCCTTTCTGCTTTCGCAGATTGTTTTTAAGTCACACCTACAACTTGCTTGCTGTGTTTTAGGCATTACTCATTACTGTGTATTTCCAGAAAGCATCTCACTAATTTATCTGAATTTGGTTTCAAGTCATTTGTTGTTTGTGTGTAGGCAATCTCCTAAATTAGTTGCTTTTCAGTTCAATTTCTCATTATAACATATAAGTGACCTATTTATTTAGCTACAGACCAATTCCATGGTAGTGAGCCTACTAAGTTATGAAGCATTTTGATGTGAACTGAACTTGTTGTGACCTCAAAAATATTTTTTACTTCAGTAAACCATCCCTAAAATAAGATGCTTAACAATGAAAGTTATTGTTTATCTCCGCAAAATCATGCTAGAGGTCAGCAATAATTATACTGATACATTTAAATAACCCTACTTAAGGCAGAAAGTCATGATACATATCTTGATGCCCAATTCCTATTTATTTTTGTCTCTCAATACACAGCACAAATCTGCAAAGCTTTTGTTCATGCTTTTTTTTTTCCCTGTTTTGCAACTTCAAAAATATTGCTGTCTAGTAGTACCTTTATCACTTAAGCTTACTTCAGACATAATAGTTTGAGAAGCACAAATAAAAAAAGAAAAAAATAACTTTGTGTTTGGTGATGAGATCTGTTAGGAGTGCTGTAAATAAGTAACCATCCAAACAAAACATTTTGTATTTATCTTCCCATAGTTTCATATTTTAATAAAACTATAGACACCAGTATGCACACACATAGACAAAGTCCAAAATAATTCAATTTTTGGAGAATACAGAAACATTACACTTGCAAAAAAAAAAAAATCCAGCAAAGAAAGTGCCTACAAGACACGTAAGGATACCCACCAACGATGTCAACCCTTCATTGTCAACAACCCAGTCTTCCTTTTCAGCTAACCTCTTTATATCTGTAAGACAGAGCAAGAGGGGGAAGGGGAGAGGGGGGGAGGGAGAAGGTACTCATTTTCATTATTAAAAACTCCTTGAACTTGAAAAGATAAACCACAGACATTGGGACTGCAATGACTAGGCATACAAGCAAATAGCACTAAAAGCTTCAAAGCTTTCAGCATTCTCAAATGACTAAGAATGGAACTCATACATGGTATGCTGGTGACACCACATAGAGAAGCGTATCTGCGATACATGGCAAGACTTGCATGAAGCACATCTTTTACTGGAAAGCTTAAAATTAAAGAAATATTGTGAAGCCTTCGGGTTTGTTTTTATTTAGTAAATTTTTAATCACAACATAAAATACCACATTTAAGAACCCAAGTCTCTAGTCAATTATACTCCAGCTCTTAATTAAAAATGAAAGAACAACTGCCTAGCATTTTAGCAAAGACAGAAAGGACAGCATATAATTCATATTTAATAACTATAAAAGAGGCCTGGAGTCCCCACTCAGGGTCAAGGATCCACGTCGCTAGACTTTCTTCAAAAATACATGAAGGCATATACAAAAAGCACTCTCGTCTGCTACCCAGAAGCTGCCAACTTCCTGAAGCTAACAGGAGCTAAGTCAGGATGTGAATCCAAAGCTCATGCACTGTAAAGAAAATTCCTCTATGGATGCATGCTTCTGCATCCTTGTTTGTTTTTGGGGGGCTTAATCGATTTGTAAACAGAACAGAGATGAACCATGTGCAGTTCATGGGGGCTTTCACATACAGTTTTTCACACACATATTGCTCATCAGAACTGTCTGTACATCATGAAACTGCCTTCTAAATGACAAAAAAAATTCAGTGAATTACTGTCTCTCCTCAAAATCCAAGAAAAGAGGGTAACTAATGCATCCTGAAAGGTATCTTCACTATCTTGGTGCTTTAATTAGCTGAATTAAGAAGCTTGGTTATAGTGTTATACCCTGCAATTCTACATCTCATGGAAGTATAGGCTTAGTGAGGATAAAAAGTATTCCAGGATTGTGCAGAATAATTACTCTGTTCATTTCCTTATTTAGTAAACCTCTTAGTTCAACAAATATTCTTGCGAGGCTTTATATTGCACTGGTCAGCCTTTACACGTTTTTGTGGCTGCTCGCTTTTGCATTCTGTTCTGAGCTAATACAAATACAAAAGAAAGAAATTTCTTTCTCGTATTTTATTGCTCACCAAATTCCAGTCAAATACATTCATGTAAACCCCCTGCCTAGTCTGGCATTCACATAATTTGGCTTTCATGACCTTTATGACCAGTGATCACATATGAGAGGGAAAGAACACAGCCTGCTTCTCAGGGCCAGCATGAGTATATGGTGTTTATCATAAGACAACAAGAAAACCCTGTGCGTGGGCAGATCCATCCTATTTAAATAGTTAACAGTGCTCTATTAAAAATTTTAACTAATCTGAGTGCCTTTATGAACTTAAAACATGCAGCAAGAGATGAGATTGAACTTTGTATCAACAGTCTCCACAGCTCATATTTCAGAGAGATTACAGAGGAGAGATTCAAGTCCAGGAGGAGCCTTTTTGACACCTATTACAGATATAACTACATCTGAGATCCATTTACATAGCTCCATGAGAACTTCCATTAACTGTTCTTCCACTGGTTCCCCAAAAATAACAGTTTCTCCAAGGGCCAAATTAACCTCGTCCTGTCCAGAAAAAAAAAACAAACCTATCTAAACTTATTTAAGATACACAAATTTGCTTTAGCTGATAAAGAAGAAAAAAAAAGGGTCCCATAGATAAGGCACACAATGCAACAGTATGGAATGATAGGCATCATACAGGCAGACATCTTTTTTCTTCTCGTGTTTGATGCACAGCCAATATGCAAAACTGCTTTGCAGACAGGGGATGGAAGCAGCAGTCGAGGAAGGCTGATGTTACTGGCTAAATGAGAGAGAGATACATTATCCAGCCAACGTAACATACCGGCCTCTTAAGGGATCTGATCTACTTTGATTCAAGAAAGGAAAGTATGAATGTTCAGACCAAATAGAGAATCATTCAAACAGATTGGTAAATCTGCTTTTATAAAAATCCAAGGTACAGATTACTACAAGAGTTGTTCCTCCACAGAACATACGTGGCCAGTAACCAAGATGTAAGAAGCAGAAACTCTGGATATGAACTGGGCTATTATTACGACACATTATGCAAAACTAGTAAGACAGCAGACTTTTTGGCTGAGAGCTTCATCGTTAATCATGTATCAGAGCTCTCTGGACTGCATTGGAGAAGGTAGGTGGACAGCTCACAGAGATTTGATAAGCTAAGGATTGTCAGCAAAACGGTTCGGAGCTTAGATGCTAGATACTTCTTTCCTTTGAAACAGTCAGGAAATTGGAAGAATCACACACAATTCCTAGACAGAGGGCAGTCAGTCTAACATGACATCCCCATGTCACAATTTATTTTTTTTTAAAAAAATCTTTTTCACCTGCCATTAAAAAAAAAATCTCAATGGTGCTAGGTGAAGAAAAGCCAAAGAGGCTTTCTATACTTTCAGTGAAATGTGAAATAGTAGTAGTACTTTCCTTGAGGAGTTTCAAAGAGAGAAGACAACCTATATACTTGTATGGCCAACTGGTTGATATTCATGCAGAAAAATAATGTTAACACTGAAATGGGATTTAATAAAAGAATTAAGAGCCAAGAATATAATTAGTGTCAACATTGTATCAAATAAACCATAGAGCCTTTATGATTTGTCATCACCAAAAGTTTAAAAATTTGCTTAATTAGCCATTTGTACTTCGCACACTTAAGACTTGGGTAAAACACTTAGCTTCATGTCAGCATACAAAATAATGATGAATCATATGTTAAAGATTAAAAACTGATTAATTTTAAGATTAAAAAGCCCTGATTTTTTTAACATTGAGGGTAATCAGTCTTCTGGAAAAAACCCTGCTAAGTGAATTAGTAGGTCAATCTTCCCTCAGATTTTAAGAGACACATTTATTTATGGAAGATTTACTTCATTCACGTTCAGGTTTCAAAGTAGAACACAAGACGGTAAGAAGAATGGCCTCTGATGCACAGAGTCACATTACATTTAGAGAATGTGTTACTGGCCTTGACAATCCAGACATTTATGGCAAAAGCTACACAGTAGGAAGCCTGGGGATTTTAATATTAGTAAAAGGCCTTGGAAAACACACAACTAACATACTTCATAAAAGGCTGTGGATTTTTTGTATTGGGGGTGGGGCATTGCTTATGTAATTCTTCAATTCTGGATGATCTCAAAAAAGAACATAAACAATATTTCAAATATGGAAAAGCTGCATCATGAGATAAATCACTTGCATTGTAAAACTGTCTCAACTCAAAAGAAATGGATCTAACATACTTTATCAATTAGACTAAGGGAAGACTCAAAATACACATTTCTGACAGAAAATTAACTCTTGCGAGGTATTACAGAACTCAGAGGAGTCCACTGCTACTATAACATCTGTAACAAACATGGTTATCTTCCAGAACATGATTTGGCCTAATCAGAGACAAAAAAATATGATAGTAAGCAGAGAGATTTTTATTACCTTCAGCTGTGTGTTGTAAGGTGACTATAATGCAACGTACACGAAGGTCCAAAATAAGATCCTGGATGATCTGAAGCATATCATTGGGTATCTCGAGTGCAGTAAGAGACTCAGAACTAAGCCTGGAAAGCAAATAAAATTAGACTGAAGTGTAAATCTGCGGGGTTTTTTTAAGCTGATATAACTTCATTGAATTTTCTAGATGTTTTCTGTGTATGCGAATACAATAGCTCCATCCACAGTGAGTCTGAAAACTGATTATCCCATTCAGAAAAGATTACTTGCTTAATTCAGAAGCTTGCAAACACATTTTTTTTTTGTAACATTACAATAATGTCATAGCAACGTGCCAACTTTTCCTACTGTCTTCTTGCACTTCTCTGCCTGCCCTTCTGCATATCTGTCTCTCATCCTATAATCCAAGAATAATCCTTTTGGAGCAGAAGTAGCTTTTTTTCCTGTTTTTAGGTGAATGCCTAGATAAAATCCTAGGTCTACAACAGGGTTTCTCAGATATTGTTTACCCACATTTACAACAGTAACAGCCATCAAGCTGCCACAAATGGTGATGTGGCTGTGCATCAGATTGCCAAGAGTACACACATTTAAGGAGCCAAAATACCGCTACTGCATCACCTGCAAAGCAAAGAGTGAATTAATTCACTGTTTGGCTCCCAACTCTGACCAGGCACAAATCACTGACTGAGGATGGAAACATTAATTTCCATTTTTTCCTTTAGAAATAGTAATACAGCAGCTGCTTACAAGGAATAGCATTTCAGCTTTTAACTAAAAGGCTGCAGTTGTGCTCATACTTTAGTTAGGGGCACAAAGTGAGGTTTACTGCTTTTATCCAATTGTTGGGTATTTAAGCAAGGATAATTCAAATGCAGTCATTACTGTTTGCCCTACTGCTAATACTGAGAAAAGCACAGGTACTAGAACATGCCAAAGAACAGGAGTAGGAAGGTACAAACAAAAAAGTTTGAGTAATAAGTGGAACATTTCCAATCAGCCACCTGTAGCCTTCAGTTCCTTACCCTCGGTGTTGGGCGTAAATTATCAAAACCCCACCGTTAACCAGAATGCTCTCTGCTGGGCACAACTACTGAATTAGTAGATTACATAAATCCACACTAACTCAGCCATCCAGGAAACACAGGATGTAAGTACCCATCTCTGAGAAGTTTACACAACACAAAATTCTTGCTGACAATGGCTTCACCTTATTGCATAGCTCTGATTTATCCTCTGGAACCTATTTAAGCTGGGCAATGGTAGAATGGGATACAAGAGGAAGACTGTGCAACCACCCCACTTTAAGCTATATGATACATAAAGACAGGCAGAAAAATTAATATTGCACAGATGTAATGCCAACGCCCCATCTAATTTTGTAAGTTTTAGCATTCTTAAATACAAGCAGAAAATGGTAAATCATTTGTGAGATGACTGAGAAAGAGCAAAAATCTATCATGTGCTTCATAATATTAGGAACTATAAAAATAAGACTTAAGCTATCCCATAACTTTGCAACAAGTAAGGTTTTTATGCAACGTGTAGACTCTTCATAAGAGTCCACCTCCATCGTTGGTGTGTGTCACAAGAATTTATTAGACTGTCAAAGAGTGTGGGGGCATGAAAAGAGAAGTACTTGCAGCACCTGCAAAAATTTCTGACCTGGTCATCAGTGGTCAGTACTCCATCATGGTATGTTCAGTTCCTCTTCTCCAGATTGCCCTTTTTCTTCTCTACTTTTGACTGCTTTGCATTAAAGTCTAGCTCACTTTGGTAAAGTGCCAGCACAGGCTTCAGTAAAGAACATGAGGTGGGGAAAAGAGTGGGAGGGGGAGAGAATTTCCCCAGCTCTCAGTTCAGTTGTTCATTACCAGGGAAGTGGCCAGAAAGCAAGAGGAGATTCTCTGAATAAAAGCCTTCACATATCCTAAAACCTCAGCCTGGATCACACCTCGGGTGGCAGGACTCTGAAGCATAACCGACCTCTTCAAGCCAATATTACAGATGTGCAAGTGTTAACTTCTAGAATTTTATAATTTGAGTGAAGTTGGATTACTTCTCATAAAAGGGCAATACTGGTGCCAAAGCCTGTTCCCTTGCCCCTTTACATCTTTTCATCAAATGCCAAGTCAGTTCCTTCTTAAATGGGAAGCTTTCTATAAAATTCAGCCAGAATAAGAAACTTCACATGGAAATTTTTTTTCTGAAGGGTTAAAGTACAGATAACGTAACTGACAACACTGGGAAAGTGTTAAACAGACTTGAGAACAGGTATGTATCCATCCACAATAAGAATACCTATATGTGATTATAACCCTTTCTTTTCTTCCTCTGTGCTTTGCTTGTTACCTACTTTGAAAACTACACATAAAAAGTACAGTATCATATCCAGGTATTACTCAAGTTTCCAAAAGATAATGACAATTCTTGTATCCTCCACAGAAAAATGGAAGTGAATTCTGTGTGTTAATGAGACATTTTGTAATTAATGATGTGCACATTACTAAGTTTATAAAAATATCATTATAAGCAGAATGACATTATAAACAGGAGTATCACCCTCCATAAAGCAACTGTAAAAGTAAATTATGATTTGAAAATGATACACCCATTTTTGCAGAGATGGGAAGATGTGTAGCAAATAAAGCAGATAACTGCAATTGCTTTCTACCCTAAGGAATCAAATCCTGTTTCATCCATGGAGTGTCTATGCTGTGCCAGGCAAATATTTTATTAAAACGTTTTCCTAAGGTGCTACAGAAAAAAAATTAATATATCATTACATAATAAGGCTATATCATGGCGCATTATTAATTACACTTGGACATAGAATCCTAAATCTGTCATAGGTAATGCTTTTGTAATCCTACTTTTGAAAATGTTAACATTCTCACTACTCAGGGTATTTAACATAATAAATAACGCAATTTGTCTTAAACCACACATATTCCAGGAATAGCATCATTTTGTAGGTCCACAGGTCCATTTACCTTACAGTCTGGATAACATGTGTTAGCCACTGGCCAGAAAGTTCAGATTTCATCTCCCAGCCACCATATTGTCTTGATTCTCCTTCTCTCAGGCTGAATGGAAGCAAAGCTCCTCGGATAAGTTTTACCAGAGAATGCATCACTTCCTGAATCATTTTCTGCATCAGAATAAGAGAAAGAAAAATCAAGCAAAAAGCTCTATCAATGTGCTTAAGCAGCCATGTACTTGCTACACACAACAGCTTGGAATGTATGATTTACAGGTGGCTCCACATGGTAGAGAGTAGATAAGGAGGAGGCATAAGGGCACACAGACAATTTGAGAAATCTGATTTTCAAGGTGGTGACACTACAGTATCTTCCTATGAGGGACAACTGAAAGAATGCAAGGTTTCCCCCCCATAACTTACCTTGAAATCGTTTTGTCTTTGCCTAGCGTTTTTCTTTGATCTTTCCATTTGGCCAGATTTTTCAGCAGTCTTGTGAAAATGAGAAAATTGAAAAGTGTAAGTAAGTATCTCAAGAACCACTGTTAAAATAATTCTGAAAAAGGGGGTTTCAAAGTGAAGGAGTGAAAACCAATGAGTTTATGATGCAATTATAAAAACTAACTCATGGCATCTCATAAGCAAAGACTATATATATATATATATATTTATCAATAGCCTCTACCTACTGTAGGTTAGCGTGCTAATGTTTAATTCTGAGGAACAACACTTACTTATGACAAAGTCAGAGACAAGCATAAAAGAATAGCTCAAGCAGTACGAACTTCATAAGGTCAAAATATTCTCACTGCAACGTTAGTGAGAAGTAAAACATATATAGTCCAACTGTGCATAAAGTTTATATGAAGAAACTATTTTCTCGGCATGGAAGCTGCCCAGAGAAGGACATAGATGTGAAGTGGGAGACACTTCTTGAAATGAGGGCAGTTTGGAACTGTAACATTTGAGGGGGACAGTTGAGGGGTTTTTGTTTGGGTTTTTTTTTTTTTTTGAACAGCATTTTGTTGACAATGATTTCTAAATAGTCCAACTAACTGTAAAAGAGACTCTGCAAAATAATCATCATCTACATGGACAGTTTGCTTCTTTGAAAACTGAGGAACGTGCGTACACTTTGCATGAGACAGTTACAGTTGAAGAAAAACATGGTTTGACTAATAGTCTTCCTGTTTGTAGGTCTAGCCTTCTGTGGAGTCTACTGAGAACACAGTAGAGTAAATTATACCAAAAAAGTTATTTCAAATACTCAGTTAAGAGTAGATGTAGAATTTTATAGTTAGAAGATCTTATATTTTATGTATGTACAGCAACATCTACTGGACAAGAAGTGCAATAACATGACAAGAGTGTTCTCAAAGAGAATCAGTTTACTTTCAAGTAATTAATTTGAAATGCTATATTTTTCAAACTCCCTCTTTAGCTAAAGCATTTCAGATTTTTAAGGTAAATTAAATAATTTGAAGTGAGCAAAAACTGGAGAAAAATAAAATTCATTAACAGTTGTGGAAAATACATAGCTATGCGACTCTCGTACTTTAAAGCTCTGAATTATACTGTTTCAGACAAGAACAACACTCGAGTTATTGCTGCATATAATACCCATTTCTCTCTTCTAATGCCTTAAAAAGAAAATGAGCTGTATTCCTTTAAACCTCAGGTATCAACTTAAAATTCACACTGTTTTGCAGCTAAATTAAAAAACAACAAAAAAATTCACAGATCTTTGATTTTTTTTTTTTTCTTTCTTAGTGGTTTTGCTGAAGACCAATCTTAAACCTTTCCTGCACAGACAGACCAAAACTATCTTGTGGTAAGACCAACGGTTACTACTCACATATGCTACTTCACCTAGAGTGATTCAAAGAACTCCACTTTTTAAACTGTTGAAAATACCACGTAAATCTTTAACTGACAATATTGTAAGGCATATAGCTAACCTTTCAGAACTAAAAAGGACATCCCTCAAACCCCTACAAACTGAACAAGAGAAAATAAATATAGCTTGTTATTCTTATGTGGGAATTTTCTTTCCACATTTCTAAAATGTCTTGAAGACTTTAGTAACCTAACTGAAACAACCCTCTATACCATTTTCACAGGATTTTTTCTTAAAAAAAAAAAAATGTTGCAATCACCTTGCTTCCTGAATGACAATAAATAACAAGCAACATGGTAAAAAAAAAAAAAATTCTTCATGGAAAACTAAAATCTGCATGTTTTCTGATAGAAAAACATACAAGCCTTGAGTCTCGAATGTGATGTGGTGACAGATATTCTTAGGTGCTCCAGAAGTCTTCTAGCCTAAGTCCCCTCCTCCCATTCTTCCTCATTTAAACTGTGGCATGCAGAACACACAAAAGGAACAGAGGGCACCATCCCTCCTCTCTCCCCAAAGAACCTGGGGGGTTTCCATAAGGACCAAAGGAGCAGAAGAAATCAAATGTATGTGGATTAATTTCTTACAAACTCAGAATCTGGCCCAACAGAAGAAAGGTAGACGTACCTTAGATACTAACAGGAAAACTACCACCTCCTCCTCTTTTTTTTTTTTTTTTAAATACATGGAAACAATGTTTTGTTCAGACATGACATAAGATCACTGCATTTTCCACTTGCAGTTATTTTCATAAGCAGAATTTCTCAACCTTGTTTACAGTTCAAGTTTCTGTTTCTCTAGAAATTGCTTTCTTTTTCATTGTGCTCAGAGAAAAAAATCATCATAACTTAACAGGTGAATTTGTAAAGTCTAATTTCCAGTGGTACTGTTGTCAAACATAAAGGTATCAATTCCCTTATGAAATTAATTATTTTTGTGAAAGTCAACAGTACTAAGACTCATTCTTGATTCTACTTCCTTCACTGAATGTTATGAGTAAATGTCATACCTTTCTTTTGATTTTATCATGTAAAATGAGTATCACGAATATGATACAGAGCTATAATGCTCTGTATTTTGTGTTCAACGTATAAAGGGCTACAGTACCTATTACTATCATCACATGAAAATGTTATATTGATTTACAGACAGTGACAATAAACAGAATGACCTCTTGAGAAATTAATTCTCTAATTAATCAGAGAAAAGGAAACAAACTTCCAAATTTCCTTTTCCCAAGGTTAATTTACTTTCTACTAAGGCCGCGAAGAATAGTAGATTGCTACAGCTGTAGTTCTGCTTTAGGGATGATTTTGTAGCAGAATACCATAGCTATGATGACTTAAGGATTTAAGCACAGCAGGACACTGTAATCATGGCAGGATAAAAACAATCTCAACAAATTAAGTGACATAGCAACAGTTAAACAGAGAAGTTTTAGATGCACAAACTTTCAGGTTCAATTTAAAAATTGATCTGAATAATATGCATGTTCAAAAGCTTGCCTGTTTTTTCATCCTGCTCTGTGTTATCCCAACTGTCTATATTTCTTTACAGACCGTGTCTTCAGAGTTTTTTAGGACCCAGAACAGTGAGTCTAAACTCCACTGAGCAAGATGATAGCTGTGTAGACGAGGTGTGAACTAGTGCCTTATCACCTGTTGATGGAACAGAGAGCTGCCTTGCCCTACACTTTAATCATGTGTTTGTCAGACTTGCTCCTTGGGAATATGCCAATACAGTTCTTCTGGAGAAGAAACACCATGGCCTGAGGACCAGAAGTGAACTCTCTGTAAAACATAATGTAATTCTTTGACCAAATTTTAGCAATAGCACAAACTCAAAAGCTATTTTATTTATCTGGTAATGATTATGATGGTAAGTGATGGTAAGCTGTATATGACGTATATCAAATTAATTATGAAATGTATCCTTTCAGAATCTGTTAATAGTGCGCACGTGAAACTGGTATGTCATGAATCATTACTCTTCTTTTTCCTGCTTCCTGGATTATCAACATTATATTTTATTTACATAATTTGTAAGAAACAGATCATGTGAGCAAGAAGGACTAGAAGCACAGGTGATTGCAGCTGACTACACTTCCAGACTAGACTCCCTACAGTATGTCTGCGTACACTACTCTGGGCCTTGGTCATTTTGCGACTCTGGTCTAGAAACTATCCTCACTTCCAAATACTTAAAGCTCAAGAAATGAGTACTCGTGTTCCAAAGAAAAGAAATATTTTTTTTTTCTGTATGACTTTGTCTTTTACTTATCTCTATCCTTCATGCAATTTGCTATTTCTTCAGATCACCAATGAAGGGCTGCTGGCCAGCTATGAGTAAGAAGTGAAACTATACAGATATTGACTCCAGCATCTGGAACACACACAGACACACCACTAGCAGAGTTCTAAGTAATTCCATCGTATGCTTTTATTCTTTTAAAAATAAACTGAGGAGTCTCACTTCTATAGGTTAGTACTGCAACAGAGGTTACTAGTCAAGGTAGTGTGTTTCAAATGTGTAAGAGTCTACTTATTGTTTTATAAAAACCCCTCTGATTAAAATAAGCCCAGTCACTTCTTCCAGTGAAATATAATACTTCAAACATAATTACTAAGGAGCTTTGTTACTTAAAAATCACTATATAGAAGAATCCATACCTCACTGAATAAACTTCCATTCACATAAGAAATCCAGAGCTTCCAGAAGTTGGGCAGCTGACTTACAACAAGTTTTGTCAACTTTTCAACAAACACAACTTGCTGAGGAGCTTTGTATCGCCAAGCTAAAAGGGGGAGAGGGGATGGAAAAAGCAAAATTAAAAACCTTTGAATTAATAATAAAAAACGTACTACTAGCTTGCCACTGCATTTTATTACACAAGTGACTATATAGCATATATATAAAACCTTTCAGGTAGGAGTGGAAAAATTTGAAGCTCAGTCCATATATGTGTACACAACTGGAATACACGCAAGCCCTTTCTTCTTTTCTCATATGCTTACAAGGTACCAGCATTATGACAGTATATAAAGAATAGGCCCCTTTGTAGGCGTATCTAATGCAATCCATGTAACAATCCATTTAGCCAGTCTTCTGTTTTCAAACCATTCTAAAAGGTAAAGTAACACAAAAGCAATCAAGACATTAGAAATTTCAAATGAGGTGGTGATGCTGAAGAAACAGGGCTACTAGGATATGATGCTAGTGATTAAGGCAAACAATGGGAACTAGAATATCTGCTTTATTTAAAGCTCAAAAAAATTTCCATTGTGGCCTGGGGCGAGTTGCCAACCTCTCATCTGCATTTCCATTTGTTTGGTAAAATCTTTTATCTGAAAAACAGGGGAGATTCCAACATTTTTCTTAAAACTCAATAAACATATCACTACATATATATTGAGATTCTCGGATGAAGGACACAATCACGATGAATAATATCACAGCATCTCTCACTTCATAAACCTACTTACACTCCTGGTATACCGGCTATTAAAAACACATCACGAAAATAGCTTACATTTTGGCAGCAGGTAACTTTTCTCAGTTTCTTATCAAATGGGGCAAAGTGAGGTGGAGGGGGAAGGTAAAGAGAAAGCTGAAAAGGGGCAGAAGGTGCCAATTAATACAGAAAACAAAGGAAACTTTGTGAAATACTTTTCTATAACCATCTGCCCTCTCCACGGAAACTTTATTGGTTATGATGTTTTAACAAAACAAGGTATACAGATAATATAACAGTGATAAGAGACTTGTATTTCAACTCAAGAATTGGAGTCCACTTTAGAATGTTGGGAAAAAGAACAACATTTAAAGAGGTCCAAATTTGTTGGATTTTTTTTTTTTTGGTATGAACTCTGGTATTTTATAAATGATAACATTAAAAACATCCTACATAACTCTGTGGAAAAGCAGAAAAATGTTGTGTGAAATTGCATATTTTGTCTTCAATCTGTTAGGGAATATTGCCTACACAGAACCGGAATTCACCAGTTAGGCAAAAATAGCTGCCTAATAGCGTGTTATTTAGCTAGTAAGCTTCACCAGAGCCTCACTATTTTCTTGTGTTGTTAACTAGTAGTTTTGAATCTCCTTGAAGCGCAGCATGCTTTCAGCAGTACCCATTTGTTGAGGTGGAGGTCAATTACTGGTCCATTTCTTTAGCGGACAAATAAACACTTGCCCTACTGGAAATATTCTTTTTCCTCGGGGCCAAAAGGTTTAGGGATTCTGGATTAGTATTTGAACATTAAAATAAATAAAATAAAATAAAAAAAACCTCACAATGGAAGCCCAAGATTTGGAGAGAGACTCTGACACAACTGAAGTTTAGCTCTGCTGATAGTGGTGCAGCTGTTTAAGAGGCATGAAAACTTCACAGAAGTTCAACCAGTAAAGCTCATAGTGGGGACACAGATCGGGTGTCAGAGCACTGTATTTGCCAGCTTAGTTTAAGACTGTCAGAGAACTGGTCTAGACCCAGTAGCAGAAAAACTCCTCTTGCTAAGATAGGCTGTGACTATGCCAGGAAGTTGTGCCAACACTGCTATAGCAACAGAGGCTCTGTAACACTATCAAACCCCAAGCTCTAACAAAAAGATTTCAGCTCCTTTGAGAAACCATCTCATCTTTGCCAAAAGCTCCAGCACCAACCCAAGATTATAATCAGGGATGTCTGTTCCTAACTGTAAACACACTGCCAAGATTTACTTCACATATGAAATTTTTTTCTCCTCCAGGAAGCATACTTCAGGTCTATTGCAGAGATTGCCTTAGTCCAGGGTCTGCAGACAGTAGATATTTGTTAGAAGAAGCTACTGCACATCACATCAAAAGGACATTCTAGCCATAAATTCAGAATATTTTCATTTTTTTTGCTAGAGAAAGCTCCAATCTATGTTAAAGCAGGAACTCTCTTTTATTCTATTTATGCTATTACAATCTGTGCTATAGCATCCTAAAGATACAACTAGAGCTATTGTTTACATATTCTCATGAACATATGCTCAAACAAGAGCTGAATGTTATTTGAATGCTGCAGTTTCAAATTCAAAGTGATTTTTTCAAACAATCTCAATCATTGTCAATCACATTGGGGGAAAAAAAACCCCCACACCAAAACCCCAAAGATGCTGCTCCTTGAATTTGCTAAAAACCCAAGAGGATGCACAAGCAACCTGAAAACAGAGGCCATCATGGCATATTTGGAACAGCAGCTCCTGCACAGGTATCATAAGTGGTTGATTTACTTTGGCTCTCCACTCGGAGAAAAGCAAGGATGGTAGAGCTTTCAACTGTTCGCAAGCATGCAGTGGGCACATGCACCTAAATACCAGTGAACTCAACTCAAGGAAACTCATTCTAACTGTAGGGTCTTTGTGGTGAATTGGGCTCCTAAGGTATTATGATGCTCTGATCCTCCAGTTTCCCTTTGCATCTTTGTTTAAACTGTGGGCTGCAGAATCTGCAAAGCTTGCTGAAGATGTATCTTTTCCAGTTTGTAAAAGGTTATGAATCCATAACTTAGACTCTAAAACCAAAGATAACCAATGGAATTGAAATTGCCGTCCGCGGATGTAACTATTTAAGCAGAGACACATGCAAAAGAATTCAGACGAGGAAAAAATACACCGGATTTTGGATGTTGCTTGCTACGTTAAGTGTGGCATTGTGTATTAGTGGATGGTATCTAACAACCAGTAATTTACTGTTTTGCTCTGTAACACTTGTTAATCAACTTCATGCAAAGTGTTGGGCTGAGAAAGGACAAGGGCAACAGTAATACAGTAATGTAATTACTTGATATAAATCTATATTTTGAAGAGTCTAATTTGTATTTTGAAATGCAAACATTCAACCTCAAACTGTGATGCAGTTTAATGGTCTTTCATGTAAAGATACATTGTGGCAGCAGAAGCATATACAATTCTCATTATGCTTCATTCTATGGTCTTGAAAGATACCCTTCATTCCTCTTCTTGCTCAAAAAAAAAAAAAATCAAGATATTTATAGATGGTTTTTCAAGGAACTCCACAGAATTGGGAGAAGAGCAACATCAAAGCAGAGCAAAGTCAGAAAGCTCTTCATAAAAACCAGCTTTCTGCAAGAAAGTACTTTGGTAAGAAGTGACGTATCCTGTGATGTCATCACTGAAAGACTCCCGAGATCAAGTTGTTTGTACAAGTGTGTTGAAGACACTTACGACACACAAGGGCTCAACTGGTTGTGGACACACTGCTAGAGCTTAGTCACATGCTTAGTTTCTCGGTTTACAGAATTAGAGAACAAGGGCCAGCTATGTGAAGTCACAGAAGGAGAAAATTAAGTAGAGCCACCTGAGCTAACACACACAACAGGTATTACAATTACAGCAGCAAAAGGTGGTAGGCAGTAGGTGGTTACGTATGCCAAAAAAAAAATAATTCTAGTTTTGTAGAAAAAAAAGACTCTTACCACCTTGCCTACATTTTAAGAAGCAGATTTCAGTTATGAACTGCTCTTTGCTTGCAAAAAACCACAGAGGACCTCTTTAGTACACACTAGTAATGCATGAAAAGAAAGAATTTTATTTGGTAACAAACCAAAACAAACACACAGAATGTGGGTTTTTGTTTGGGTTTTTTGACTACACCACACACTGGACATAGGGGACTGCAGCTTTGTTTTTCCAAATAAAACAGATGCCTACCATCATCACGACCAGACTGAAAGCTGCTGCCCCTTTTCAGTGAAGCAGTTTGACTGAGGTGGCCAATTGGTGATGGACGCACATCACTGTCCAGGTCTATCATGGGGCTGTGGAGCAATGAGTTGCCTAGGGAGAGGGGGAAAAAAGTTATAACTGTTTTGCACATCAACTGACATGAAACTGCATTTGGAATTCTAATATAATTCTGAAGTGATACAAGACAAAAGTTATCTAGCAAAAACATTCTTAATCTTGCTTATTTAGACTGCCTGTTCATCTACATCAAGACTGTTCAATACCACCACTATTGACTCCTGCAGCAAAGCCAAAACCACAAGTACCATGTGGGAAATATTCTTTGGTCTGTACGTTTCTCTGTTTTTACTTTAATTAATACCCTACAATTAGTTGCTTGAAAGCCACGGATAAGTATGTATTTATGCCATTAGTGACATGGCACACTGGTGTATGTCTAAATATACTTTTCAACAGCAGCAGTTTCTTGTGCCTCCAGCTGAAACAGTTAAGGGCAGAGCATTCAGCTACTACTTAGCTGTTTGACTTGCGCAGAGTTCAGGTAGAAAGAATCCATCCATCATGAAGCAGATGAACTAACGTCATTGTATGCTTGTGCATGTCTGTAGAACACTGCACACTTACACATATCCACAAACACACAAAATATTTCCCAGTGAACCAGTTACTGTAACCAAATAATTATTTTTTTTCTTTGGGTGCCTGTCCATACGTAGGTCACTATTAGCAAGTTCTAAGTAGTGATCTAACCTGATGGAGGTGGATACTTGGAGCCTAACGTATGTTTTGGAAAACAACCATGTCGTAATGAACAGACCATGATGATTTTTTAATGTACTGTAAGACTGCCAATATTGCTTTTAAAGTCTAAATTGCTGCTTTATGCATTTCACCATAGAGATACATTTCTGAAAGGAACCATCAAAAATTATTTCAGCATTGGCCAACTGAGTCGTAACAGCTAAACTAAAATTAGTCAAAATTCACAAAATAATAAAACAGTCCAGGTTGGAAGGGACCTCAAAAGATCATCTAGTCCAACATTTCATGAGAAAGGGAGCCTGGGTGAGATTATCTGGCACCCTGTCCAGTTGAGTCTTGAAAACCTCCAGCTATGGAGACTCTATCACATCGCTGGGGAAGTTGCTCCAGTGATTGATTGTTCTCATGGTAAAAAAAAAAAACTTCTTTCTTATGAGATGAAACCTCTCCTGATAATTCATGCTGAATTTTGCAGTGAGAATCTCAGTGTTTGAGTTTATGTGCCTTGATCATTTCCATCAATACTTACGTTCACTTACAGTAACAGGAAGGCCACACAGTAAGAGCACCAGCTGCAACATTGTAATACTCAGACTCGAGAATAACACAAAGTAAAAAGGATTTGAAGAATATTTATTCTGAATTTATGCTGCTGTCAGACCAGTACGGCAGTAAAGATATACCTAGTCACTTTACTTCAACAGCTGGGGCTTAACGAGCAACGTTAAGTATTGTCAAACTTATCGCAAACTTCCAATAGGTGACAGTATTGGGTTTTAGTTCCTTTTGAAAGAAGCTGCTCTTCCCACAATTTTTTTTAACGGCTTTTAAAGAGATTTCCTGTGGCCTTTCAGTGTGGCCTCGCTGAGGCATTGTCATTATCGAGCTAACGGTCGGTCCTCCATTCATCTCATTACTGTTCACATTATAAACCACCTAAATAAATAGATCCGTTTGCCATGTAGTTCACTGTCGTGATGGACACGCTGCATTAGCTGACTTGGTGAACCCACCTGTGCTATCTTTAGCCTGTACTATGATTCTGTCAACTATTTAAATCCTACACCACTTAGTAAAACCAGCTAATCTTTATGACACCTTTAAAATTGATGAGTTTTCAGCAATGTGGACGCTGCTACAGTGATTTAAGTGTATTATCCACCACAGAGGAGTTCTATAGCGAGTTTGAACAAGAATTTGGGGAAAGACTCTTCCTTCTGAATGAACTAAAAATACAGAATAATAAGGAAAACACCCTAAAGCTATCAACTGCTTTTAAAGTAGGTATATATGCTGCAAGTACAAATAGTTAATTATGGACACACACTACACAACCGCCCATGTAACAGAGATCTGTGTAAGGTCACATATCTTCTACATCTACAATTTAAACACCTATATCTTTAAAACATATCTTAATTATTACAAATTTACAACATTAACTTCTGTGAAAACATTCCAGCAAGCCTGCAGAATGAAGTAAAAACAAAAAAAATTTCTTCCGCTCCAGATTGGAAAAAAGCACACATTCGATACCTTACAGAGATTCTACCCAGAATAAGAAGAAAATCATATAGAAGACCCTGAGAAATTGTAAGTGCTTTGCATAGCTCTTGAGCTTCCGTAAGAATTTGACTCTCAGGTTCTACATACCTGCATTTTATTTAGGTGAAAAAAATTGTACGCCAGGGACAAATGAGAATTGTCTAAGGCATTGCTAGTTAAAACATATACTAAAAAAAAACCTAAACAAAAACCCCAAAGTGCAGCAATGCTATCTTCACAAAAACTACAATTAGAAAAAGACACGATAGGCGAAACTTCCTTCTTTGATGTCTTTGCATAGAATTTAGGCTCTCACCCTTCAAACGCCTTGTTAATACGAGGAATTTCTTGTAAACAGATTGTTTCTAAAAATGACAGTGCCAATTAAGCCTTAGAATTAAGAAAAACAGACACACTTACCAAAACATCTTAATGTGAATTAGTTCAATTAAAACCATTTGCCTGAGGTAGCTGAAAACCTGAAAATTCCGTATTGCTGCTGATACACTAACCCCACGCCGCCCAAATGGTTTATATATTCACCAGTAACAGAAAACATGTAAAGAATACTCTCTTGTTCCACCAGAAAAACCACATCATCAGTTTGCAGCCGTACCAGGAAAAGAAAGTTTAACATGAACTAATTTCTTAATTGGTTGTCTAGCATTACAAGCAAGTATAACACAGCAGCAGGGAACTACAACAGCACATATACCCTCAGGACTAATAAACATCTGGACTACATTAGCAAAGCCGATTTTGCTTTCACCCGACCAGAAGATAGCGCTTGAAGACTGCACACTAATGCATAAATCTTGTAAAAAAGTGAGAGTTAACTTACAAACAATTTTTTCTCCCATCCCAACTTGTTCCCTCTCTGGAGCCAGCAGCTTAAATTTAGCAGCATAATGTAATACAATGGATTAATATTAGTATGGAGTGTAGACAATAATATTTATAAACCTAAATAAACTACCCAAATAATAATTTACTGCCTATTCATTTTTTGATTTGTGTACTATTTCTACACTCCTAGATCCTGAGCATAGGATAGCAACAATCTAAAGTTTCAAGAAATTAACTTTTTACTGCGTTAACAGGTTTTAAGATGTTGTCTAAACAGCACGAACAATACATTCCTGGCAGATCTTAATATTTTTAAAAACTATACTGCAACTTTGAAGTCACAGAAGTATTTTTTTCCAAAATACAGCATTTACATGGAGCATATCTGTCAGTGACTCCAGTGCCAAGTGTATATTTAACCAAGGAAACACAAGAAAAATAAATGTACTACATTCTCTTCTTCTACCAAACAGTCATGACAAACCAGAACTATAATTTAAGCCTTATTACATTTACAACTGTAAAATCATGAGAAGATAAAATAAGAACTTTTAAGGACCTTAACGTTGCTTTTTTTTTTTTTTTTTTTTAAAGGATTTTACTGGGTTTCAACTTTTTGTGCATGGATTTTTTAAAGGTATGTAGAATGAAATAAAAGCATTCAGATACTGTGTGAAATATAAATAGTTCAATGGTTTTGTTCAGTTCTCTTCTGCTCTAATGCAGTAGGATCCCACCAAAATAAGGACCTGAAAAAATAAAAGAACGCAATGCTTTTTGAGGTAGTTTATTTAATTTGTGCTTTCACTTTCTGTAAATTAAAAGTCACCTGTGCTGACCCTTAATTGCAGGTTTTCTCCAAGTTTATCAGCACTGGAGTTGCTACAGGGTACTTATGTGCCTACAGCACCTATGGCTCCTGTACATACCTTGACCCCATTTTTTTGAGATGTTACCTGCACGCAGCATGTTGCGGCTTCAGTGAAAAAGACAACTAACGTGAAGTTTGCCTAAAATAGATTTTTCCATGATCTGCAAACCAGTCAATTACTTAAATCTTCAAACACAGCTTTACTTTCTCATTTAAAAACTATTACCAAACTGAGTGTAAAAAACTTTCTACAATATCCATCGCTCCACAACTCTGCTCGTGTTTCTTCCCCTCGCAGTCTGACAGGCGGAGATTTCTCGTGGGAGTCGCACATCTTTCGCCTCCCTCTATAACCCAGCCTCAGCCACTCTGCAATTCTGCCAGCTCGGTGCATCACTTACATGACATTCAGCTAAAGCTTTTTATGAAAGCTACTGGTTAATCAGGGGATAATATACCACTAGTACTTTTTGCAGTGAGAAAGAAAATTGTTAACAAGTGACCAACCTCAGGCTGAGTAGCATTTTTGTGCTATTTTCCACACTAAGTCAAACACCAGTCATTACACAGACTACGTGTATATATACAGCATATATATGAGCAAGATTAAATTAAAAAAATAAAATAAAAAAAAAAAAAAAAAAAGACCCTACAGATGTGCAACCAGGTGAATACAGTTACTGTATTCTTTCATCCATTATGTATCTTACAGTGAATTTTCTCACAGGCTACAATAGTGAGGGAAGGCTGATCTATAGCCTCCGGACTCTCTGAAGGGCGGCAGACTTCCTTACCACCCTTAAACACCTTTGAACATTTTTTCCTGTGCACAGCGGGCCCTTGTCCTGTGCTACAGCTTGACCACCCACTGTTGCTTGTTGACCAAACACACAGTGCCGGGAGCCCGCACCGACACAACCAGGACAAGATTCCTTTCAAGGACACCGCACTGAGAATTTCAATGTCTATGCAAGAAATTAGGCAAGCAGGAAAAATTACCGAAAAATTAACCTGCTCAACAGATGAATGACTGCATTTTATTCTTTTTTTTTTTTTTTGAGTACTTTTTCTTTCTAACCTTACATTTATTAGGAAACTGAGATTTTTAGATGATGAAGAAGAAAATAGGTTGTATTTCTAGCAGAGATGAGTGCAGAAGATTAAAATTGCTGCACTTGATGGAAAAAATGTTTCTGGAATACATTTTAAAATGAATGCTTTTTTAAATCTTAAGGCTAGCCTTCATTATACTAAACATACTTATAATAAAATTATTTTTCAGTTTACCACAAAAAGCGTAATTGGGCCTATTATTTCTAGTGGTGTTCTAAGCATTTCACAGCCTGAGGGTAAGCCTTATTGTCCGTCCTACAGGCCAAAAAATACTGCAGTGAGAGCCAAATGTTTCAAGTTCAGCACATAAATAAAAATGACGTCATTTTACTAGCACTAGCTCCAGTGGACATTAAGATCATCAGCAACTTTGGAAACAACCCGCTTTTACTTAATTGCCCAAATAAGGACTTAAAAGACTGGAGCAGACACCAAGGTAAAATTCTGGCCACAGAAGTTTAGCACTACTGAACGTAAAGTGAATCTTTTCAATTTTGATTATAGACTACCTGTGCTGCTTTTTAATCACAATATTTACTGTCTTTATAATACTTCATATATTATTTAATTTATAATACTTTAAATAATTTTTAAAGTATTATATAAGATAAGAATGCCCCCTGCACTTCTGAACATGTCAGATTCTACCAAAAATTCTAAATAACAGCAAAGTTACAGATAGAGGTGGTGAAACAGGAAAAGAAATCCGATGCCAAATTTTGTACTGATTAATTTTTTTTTTTTTAATTAATAACCTATTAAGGGTTTGCTTGACATCTGCTGTCAAAAGGGTATTTCTGCTATGGACAGGGGATGTGGTTTAGACGCGAAATGGCTCCCAGCTGCAAGAAGTCTTCTTCCAGATGTACAGTAAGCAAAGGCAATGGAAGAGAACCAGCTGCTAGGATAACAAATTGAAAAGGCCCTTTTGACACAAGCCTTGCTGGCCTGTCTGATCTAACAAAGATGGATCATTCATTGCAAGGTGAATAGAATCTCAGTGTGGCACAGAAGAGCAAGCAACATGGTCTACGCATCCATCCCTCTCCTTCACACTACATACAGCTGCTGTTACTCTGGCACAGAAAAACCCTGCATAGCTTCTTTACAATATCTGGAGAGCTGTGCATCATACTTTTGAGTGCTGCAAAACTTGTATTTTTTTCCAGCAATAAGAACTACAACAAAAATCACAATGATTGCACTAGTATACCCCGGTTTTGAGAACTGTCTCCATGTTGGGAATTTTAATAGGTTGTATAATATGTTTTGCAACCCAAAGGGCAGCAGAAAGATCACACGACAACTTTGTTAATGTTTCCATTTACAATTTTAACAGGCATTAACAGATAGCTTATTTGCAATAATGTTACATAATATCTCAGGAAGACCTGTTAAGAAATGAAGACTTTTTCAGTCAGTTTGATAACTGGATTAGAGTCCCTACCCATTTTAGTCAAAGGATCATGAACCTACTAAGCCACTATTAAAGTCTAAGCAAATAACCACTGTCCACACAGAAAACAGTCTTAACCTCCACAGCTTCTTTCCTTGATACTCATGTAAAGAATCCCATTGCTTAACTCATTTTGGCTATCTGCCCAGTGCCCCAGGCAAATTTTAAACTAAACCTCATTTATTTACATTTATTTTCATGTCATTTTATGTCATTATATCCCCCATGTTTCCTGTACTCCAACAAGTCTGGGAAGCATAAACCCTAGTGAAAAACTACAATTATGCCCCAATAATAGGGGAATTGCCAAGTAAAGTTAAAAATTACAAATATGAAAGCCATAATTGAAGGAAGCCATTTACTATCCAGGTACCAGGTTTGAGAGTCCCCAGACTTCTACAAATCATAAGTTCAAAATTCAGAGGAAGCAATTCAAACTTTAACCAATACAAGGCATAAAATAGCAGCACAATTCCATTTCTCATTCAACCAGCTTTTGCTAGAGATTTAAGAAATACTGCTTTGAGTGAGCATAGTGCTCTTCCATGTTAAGCCTTATATTCATAGCCTTCAAAAATGCTCTTTTTCCTGTCTATTCAGTCTCACGCATCTCCTTCTCTCTGACATATCTAGATACTAAGTAACAGCAGCAAACCGGCTTTACCTACTTCAGGTCCTTCCAGTGGGCAGCAATAGTGGGATGCAATCCGATCTATAAAAGGAATCCATCAAATGCTTCAGGAAATAGCTTCATAATCATAAAAAAAAGTTTAAAAAACCCCCAAGCAATAAAAGAGCACAACTGCCTATTCCATTAGTAAGGCAGATAAACATTACATAGAAAACAAAACGTTAATAAATCCATATATTTACAAGCATTACTACATCAGCAGAGCTAAAGCTCCAGCCCATTGCATGTGGGTCCTGATCTACAGCTGTGCCATTAATGGAAGAATCTGACCATCAGGTAAGCAGGAGAATTGCTTAATATAAGGACATGAGCACAGGAGCTTTATGATTTGGGCATCCCCTGTACTGCCTCATGCTTCTACTATGACTTTGGCTGTGCTGTTTGGTCTCTTTGTCCCGGCTGCTCATACTTCAGAGCAGGAGAAATTTTGATCTGCTATCATATATGCATATTCACTCACTCCTTAAAACATGTGGGCTTGGATTCCAAAAGTTTCTTGTAATATATACATCATCTGCCTGCATTTTTTTTTAACCTCACAAATGAGGAAGGTCTCCTATGGGTATACAGAGCAAGAGATAGATAGGCTAAAAGGCAATGATGGGTAACAACAGCCTGTTTAAGACTGAGGGGAAACAGTACATTAATACACATACAGGGAAATTCCTCAAGGGAAACACACTCCGAAATGCTGCTGTAAAGTACTTCATATACAGGACTTGAGAAAATTCCCCATCCTACTTGTACCTGTTGAAATAAATGCAACCAATCAGCTAATGATCTGATTCCTGCATCTTTTACGATTAATAGTTGTTAATTAAAATCAAAGGAAACATCAGTTGAATAATTTGTTGTTTGTAGTTGTCAGCCTTTAAGCCACACTACCAAATTATCTGATAAAGCTCAGCACAGCTCGATATACCTTTCAGTTTTTGGAAATAATAGTAACACAAGTTGGATTTACTGAAAACAGGCAGCATTTGAAACACATAGGATTTCTCCTAGTAATATCCAAGCACAGAGCCTTTTTTAAGCTTTTCATGTGATAATACTACTGAGAGTGAAGGATTCACATTTAGATCAAAAATACATACTTAGGTATAAAACTGAAATAAACACATATTTAAATACGTATCTAATAAGCAATTTTCTGGTAGCACTTTCAACCACCCCAGCATGTATATTAGCTCACTCCACTCTTCAACTATTCTTAGGAGAGCCTAGAAAGTACAGTTATTAACAAGAGAGCAATCATCAGGCAAAGATAAGGAACCTACAGAGGACGTAGAAAAGCAGATTTACTTCTATCAACACTGGGGATTTGTCCTGACTGCCATTACTAGTGGCCTGAATGAGATGATACATCACTAAATCTCTTTAAAAAGATAGGAAAGATGCTATTTCTAGATAAGTAAATTATTTCAGTTGTAATGACTAAGGGTCAACCTCCTAGCAGTATGGAGACACTGGAACAATTTTGTCCCACTAAGAGTACAGTGTCGGCTTGTCATACCAGTGCCTGAATTTGAAGCGAGTTCTCCTTAGAATTCATTTAGGTTTGGTTTTTTGCAATTATTTGCTAAACAAGCTATGTTAGCCTTCCCTTCCCAAATACATCATACCTAGCAAATAAATTCTTTGAGAATATTTGCTGTCTCACAATCAGCTACAAAAGTCCTGTTCAGAATGTCTAATAGAGTTTTCAACAAAGACATTTCCAGGTAAGAAAAGCAAAGGCTTTCGTCTAATTGCAAACCCATTTTGGGTAGTAAAATTCATGTGTAACGACTCAGGGCACAGCTTTGCATTGAAAACTAATCAAATAGCAGCAAAATGCTTTGACACAAAAACCCCAGTTAAAACCTGAAAAATTGCGCATACTTGCAAAAATAGATACAATCCTTTAAGTTTACTACGCTAAAAAGCTTTGACTCAGTCTGTTTGAACCCACAGATTCACAGTCAGCAGAAGAACTAAGCTAAGAATAGATAGAAATTGTTGGTATGTTCAAGGTGGTACTGTAATTGCTGTCTGCTTATTCCAGCATCTGCAATATGAAGACTACCATCTGCCAGAAACAATGGCTGTTATCCCTGTTGAAAAGGGAAACCTAGAAAAAGATTTAATGCCCTTTTCATTGGAGTATCAACGTTATAACCCACCTTTTCCTCCAAATGCTTGATATATAACATAATCTTTTTTGGAAGCGTGTTTTAAGTGGAGGACTTCAATGTTTGAAAATTTATTAGTATTCTCTCCTAAAAATAGCCTGTGAATTTATGAACATATAAACCACATTTATGACTTATTTAAGTTGACTGGATTCCTCAAAGTCATGCGTAACCAATTTGATGTCTACGAGAAAAAGCCCACACTTTTCCTGTGTGAAAAGCATAGATCTATTAAAGTAGATTAAAATACATTCCATGTCTCTGATCACAATCAGTATCGCTCTACTTGGCAGTTAATACCAGTTCTTCCAAGTTTTTTTTTAATCTTTCTCCTGTCTGGTATATGCCAAAATTAAAGATCTATGGCAAGGAAAAACCATGTTTAGCAACCTTCCTTTGTCCTACTAGATACCAAGTGAGAAAATCCATCAACTAGGATCAATTCTTGAGTATTTTACAATCTGTACAAAAACTATATTAGGAAGGACCACATAAAAGACTGGAAGAAAACTACTGAAATTTGATGAACTATTTAATAAAAGTGGTAATATATTAGCATTTGTTTCATATATGCACTAAGTATTAACTATTCATACATGCATTTACTGGGCATTCAAGTTATTTAAATTCCCTCTTCTGTGAGCCAAACAAAGCTGCTAACATAATACCCCTTTGATATTAAGGCTGAGGTAAGCAGATTTTTTGCAAGAAAAACACCAAACAGGTTGAGATTTTCAAGACAGGCCTAGGAATTTAGACACATTTTCCATTCATTTAGTGGAGCCTGCAGATCAGAATTATATAGACTACTAAAACAAAAAAATCTTGAGCACTTCATATCTTCGCGCTCCTATTTTTCTTGCCAGGAAGCTGAAAGATGGCTACATAACATTTTGCAAGTGAGTGGAGAAAAAGATATCTTAGAATTGTTAACAGTGGCTGTTTTTACAAGTGAGTTTTGGTCCTCATAGCTGTATGTTGGGGTGGTGGTTGTCTCAGGATTTTGACTAGGAGGGAAGTTGGGGAGGTTTTGGAAGTGTTCTGAATTTTGACCAAAAGGCCAAGAAACCAACCTGGTGTTCCAGCTGGTCTCACAGCACTCCACACCATGTTGTGGAACAAAGATGGTCTGTGCATGCCTTATGCTAAAACTTACTGACCTCACTGTCATATGCGATGTGCCCTGTGAACTCTATTCGTAACCTCTGCTACAGAGAGTTTAAGCCTCCTGCAGCAATTTTACAACACATTTCTGCAGCAGTTCCAATTCAGTAAAGTTTCTGTGGTTTCTCAGAAGAGAACACATTATTTGGTTTCGGATATATATGCACTAACACTAAACATGGGAGTTATCTATAAGCCAAGAGAGGCCAGATTCCAATATGCCTACTCATTTCAGAAATAACAGAAAGCTCGATAAGATTTCCTGAGAAACAAGGCACTACTTGTCTTTTTCTAATCTAAAAATCCAGTTTTCAGATTTTACTACTAGAAATGCCAGGCCAATAGCCTCCCACTGATTCCCTTTTGAAAACACACTAATGTGATAGATCATGTTAACTGGCAGCTAAGTTACTGCCACAGGTGAAAACAATACCTATGAGCATGCATTTCTTTGAGGAACAACACTGGCAAAGTCAGAGACAGAATACAACTAACTATTCACATTGATCTTAATATAACATTGTCTAAATATCTGATTTGTCCAACTCACAGGTCTGGGCCTGAACAGTGTAATCTGAATTTTGAAACTGCACACGAACACAGAACAAGAGAACACCATATTATCTTTCACTGCATATCAAGAAATTACACGTTATTCCACTATGCCCCAATGCCCTGCATATCCATATACTAATGGCATATCTTGTGACAAAGAAATCTAACCAGCAGATTCAGACAACAATCCAAACTTCACAATAAACTTCAGATAAATGACTGAAATTTAATGCTTTTCCCACGTAACGAGCTTAAAAGTTATAAGTTAAACAAAAAGAAAACTCCAACTGCTGTTTTGTTTTTATAATAGAACAGAGAAAAAAATACGTCAGTATTCAACTTTGTAAAAAGCTATCAAAATCGATAGAAAAAAACCCGCCAAATATCATTTGTACACTAAAACTTGTCAAATAAAAAGCAATGCCAAATTCCAAAGTGTCAAATATATATATATAAGAAAACCAAAAATATATCCTTGCCTTTCTGTTCCTTAACATAGCTCTCCTTACAGTTGTGCATGAGCTGCAGAATCCACTGATGTTGAGCACCAATGCACTGCCAAGCAGGGTCCCCAGGCGCATGAAGATCAGAAAGATATCTGTAAAACCCAGTCCAAAAATCACAGCTCTGACTTTACACACTGAAGGCCTCATTAAAACAGACCAAAGATGTACTAAGAAATAATTTTTTTTTCTTGTACATGATTTTAAAATCCAAGAATAGTTGTTAAGATACTCTCATACCCAATGCAAACACAAACTTTGCATTCTCCTCATTTACTGAAGCAAATTTCCATCAAAAAATCTTGTAGAATAAACAAAACCATACATATTTAATATCACATTAATATGTATTTTCAGTTATGCCTCTAGTAAAGTACTTGGGAAACCAAGCTCTTTATCTGCCAAGGTTGCAGTTCAGTACTTCATGTTTCACTTGGAATCAGTGATGACATCTCAAGCACATAAAATATGGTATTTTTCTTCCCACTTTATATGTCCTGATTGTATCATCATGTAAACCTAACAAGTATGTACAGAAGGAATTAATTTTTGGCAGCTCATTAATTTTAGCACAGTATGCACAAACAAATGTAAACCAAGCTCCTGGTTGTTTTGGTTTTGTTTTGGTTTTTTTTTTGCATTAGGATGTGCACACACAGTCTGCAAAGAAAAAAAAAGGGGGGGAGGGGAGATAATGAAAAGGAATGGGGCTTGTAATACACAAAAGCAAAACACCCTCTGTCTTTGGGGAGAGAGGAGTATTAGAAGCCTGCTGCTGTGATTTCCAAGAGAACACAGTAATATAGTCTAACATATGGCATTCAAGAGTATCTGACAACAGTACTTTCAAAAGAGTATTTTCAAAAAGCAGTGGCTACTCTACTGTTTAACGTACTCCATTACATTCTGAGTTAATGAGACTAAGACAGATTCAAAAATTCAAGATGCTCAAGGTGAAGTACATTGATTTACCGTCTTAAGCAGTACAGGGGATGCTCAACTCCTTCACAAAAGCTGCATTACTCCAATAATACCTAATGTTAGTTAGGACTGTGTTGCAAAATTCTGTCTTTGAGAACTGTCTGCAGTACTTGAACAAAAAAATAAATTGTCAAAGTAGGATTGGTTGGATGGATGAGAACATTGCACAACCAACCATTTTGACAGGATGGCATTTATAACTTTTGAGCTCAAGTCCTTCCTCAGTGTTAAGCGGGACTTTAGTCTTTGCCTAGACACAAAATAAAAGAAATTACCACTGGTCCTGGAAAAAATACATCTATTTGGCTGTTAAGTGATATGGCAAACTGTTTCTGAACAGTATAAAATAATTATTAGTGTAAATACCATAATAAAATGAGAAGAAAATATGAATTGAAGCCTAATTATAAACACTGAATATCTGAGGGGGAAAACCACATTATTTCAGGTCTTACTCAGCCTTAGACATTGAAGACGTATAAAACAACATATCAAGGAAGAAAAAAACCTCATAAAAATAGCAGGTTTTACACAAATAAAATCCGAATTGTAAAATTTATCTCCTCCTAGTTGAAGTGCTCTGAAGAAGGCTTTCTTCACACCTTGCGTCCAGAAAATTTACACTTATATACTTCAGCGTATCTAGAATAGCAAAACGAATTTAATCGCTTTGTATGCTGGGATTCTGTTAATTCATTAGAACTAAATTATTCCATATTTGTCCACTCCCTGGTCTCCTTCATTATACTGTTCTACACGTGGAATGCGTTCGGTAGTTACATTAACACAATCTGCTTTAAGGTAGGCTGGGATATTTTTGAAGATTCAATACTTCAAGGTAAGGGGCTAGAGAAAAAAAACCAAAAAGCACACCACACAAAACCCCAACCATCCCACCCCCCGCAAAAGAAACAACCCCCCCCAAACCCAGAATCAAACACATAGCACATATACAATTCTGATGCTTCTAAAGAATCCTTAGAAGAGGTGGTAAGACTTGGCTTAGATAAAAAAGCTGCTCTTTAAGGTTTTCAAGACTGACATAGAAATAGCACCTTCTTCAGAGACACAAAATGCTTAACTACTCACCTTAAAATATAATGCCAATAAATAGGCAATATTTATATAGGACCCAGGAGAATGAGAAGCACCTTATATAAACATACACTGGCCACTGTCCTCAAACTAACATAACGTAAAGGGACCCAAGACACCGATACCACACTTAGTCCTGTGCGACTGGGCCTGGTGAGCATACAAAACATTGAATATCTCACACAGGTGTCAAAATTTTAAGAATGCTTCTCGCACAATGCATTTGGTCTACATCTTTTAAGATAACTGAAAAAAGCACTGAGAATGTCAAACCACACGAGGAGCCCTAGTAATGTCCAAAACTCAAAAGCTTTCTAAGTAAAGCCGTCAAATGTTCCAGAGCACTGTCAAGTTTGGCTCCAAGGACTGTAAAGCAGGTTAAGGTCTACCAGTAGAAGAAGGTCTAACCAACTCATATCAGTATGCATACAACAGACTTTGAAATCAGCTTTGTGAATGACAGAAATATCTAGGAATTTCAATGAAAATTGGTAAACTGGTTCATATTCATGAAATATAAAGGAAATACATTATTTAGACTGAGTAATAAAAGAGCCAAAACCAAATTTAAGTGACAGTCTGGATTAAAACCTCCCTATTATCTGACTCAGGATGATTCCATTTCAACACCAAGTCAAGCTGAGGGTAAGACAAGTTAATAAGGAATCTATTTGAGATCTGCAACCTGTGAGTGAACATTTCAGACATAGCTTGCAATATGATGGTTTAGAGGAATCAACAGAATCTAAACATACCTTAAAGATTTTAAAAGATTTAATCTCAATTATCCTTTGTTAAATTGTTCTCATTCAAGAACTGTTTTTCAGTCATTCATTAAACAATCAAGAACCAATCCACTGCCATTATTTATGTAATCTGTAAATCCCCAAATACTCAATTTACAGCTTTAAAATTAGTATTTAAGCCATAGTAAAAATAGTCACTACCCTATTTAGGAAACAGATTTAAAAGTCCATCTAACACTATGTCTGATGAGGACACTAGTCAAATGATTACCTTATATAACGTTTCTGATCATGCAGTGTTGACGGAGTCTCAAGCAGCTTATCCAACAGAAGTTCTCTTAAAGCTTCAATTCTGGTTTCAACTTCAGCATAATCTAGGAATAGGGAGAGGAAATAAATCCAATGTGCGCCTTCAGCAGTGCTATGAACTGAAAATTACGTTTTTTTTCCTAGGACATGAGACACTTCTGGAGTTAATATGGAAATCAACAGAACTCATTTTATAACAAGCCACATCTAAAAATTTTGTATAAGACAGTTCCACAAAAACAGAAGACTGGACTTTGAATTCTTTTCAACAATATGTCAGTGAGAGATACCTGAAGCCACATTTTATTTACTGTAACTCTTTTTTATGTCCAGTAATACCAAGCCTTAATAAATAAATAGAACTGGCTGTGATTTCACATCTTGTAGTGTATTACTCACTTAGAAAACCTGCCAGAAATATTGCTTAATTTATTCCTATAAATCCATAATTTTTATGGATTAAAATTCATATAAACATAAAGCTCTTTAGACTACCATCTGCTTTTAGCCTTTAAGTTAAAAAAAAAGCAAGTAACAGACCCGTATCTTACATTTTTTGAATACTTGAACCTCTGTCTTTCCGAAGAGTGACTTCGCTTTTTCGTAGTCATTAATAACTACGTCATAATCGCCCTTAAAAAAAAAACAAACCAAAATAAACACACACAAACAACAAACATTTATATTTGTCAAGAAAAAGGTAACAGACTAATTTCAGCAAATGGAAAGTATTTTTAATGATTATACCTTCTGGATATTTCTTTCAATATTCAAGGGAAGGTTGAAAAGAAATTTAAAACGCTGAAGAACATTAAGCGCGTTTCTCGTTGAATCAGCTTTGTCCTTGCGACCCAGCACTTCTTGGAATAAGGTATCTGCTGTGTTACTGGCTCCTATTTTAAAAAGGAGAAAAATAAGAAAAAGTAAAGTAATCAATCAGTTGAAATGACGTACTGATTTTCCTCATTTTAACAAGTCATTCAAGTTTTTTTAGAGCAATTGAGTGATTATTGCTCAATTTTTATACTTTTTTGTTCAACTGTGTTAACGTTTTACAACTGGTGAAATACTATTTCAAAGTGAACCACTTAGCATTTCAATGTGGTAAGACCTCTTTTTTAGTAAAAACAATCCCTCTTTCCTATTTCAAATGCTTAACTTTGCTGCAGATATTTTATAGTTTGCTTTGGCTCCAGATCTACATTTTACAACTAAATTATGCATCTCAGGATATGGAAAAAGTCATAGAAAGTTTTCTTTTAGAAAAGTATAATTTAATTACATTAATGTCATAGCTTTAAGAGTTATCACTGGGTTTTGCAAACAATTCTGTTGTGTTTTCAAATTAAGTCTTAGAAGTTATTAAGAATATTTGATATTTAAGTGAGTCACTTAAAGGTACCAATGATTAAGTCAAAGACAATGACGTGACTGAAAAAAGTCTAACTAGCTGGTCACTGTAACAGAATGAATACAAGCTGTCTTCACACTGCATTAAAAGTCTTACTGGCTTCACTGCGCACAGGATCAAGCCTTGGTCAACAATTTCATGCAATTAAGTTTCTATGCTATCTGTGAATATTCTTCAATTAATACAGCCTTAAAACCTTTTGTATCCAGGCTAAAAAGCATTCTGTTTTGTAATAAGGACAGTTTCCTAACACAGAATAATAGAATATCATTTATAGTAGGGAAGATTTACATTGCATGTGAATATCTGCATTTTTCAACTCGTGACTTATTTTTAATTAACCAAAAAAAAAGTGGAACTGTTTTAGCCTTTTTGATCATTGTGTGTAGAAGTTTCTACATTATCTGGTCTAGTGACTATACTTTAAGCAAAGACGAAAAAAATTACATCAGTCTCGCTGGGTGGCTTGCATGCCATTTTCTCTAGTCAACACTGTGGGTGGCCTGCTCATGTTAAAAGTAGTCTTTGTAAAATAATTGTTATATCTAAATAATGTTTAAACTTTGTTGAAATTTTGAAGCCTTGATGTAAAAAAAGTTTTGTCAGGATAGCTATTTCTACTGCATACTATTTAGCACAGAATACTCTAATCCATTAAGGAGAAATACACAATGAAAACAACTAGCTGGACATTTAAATACAGACCACTGATAAAGTATGATTTTTCTCTTGAGGTTATAATAAATGCTTGCTTTGTAAATCCTTCTAAGTAAGTAACATTTGCTTTGTATGAATTCATATGTTTCTTGTCCATTCTTTTAACAGCAAAGAAACAATGTCTGGGAATTAAAGTTATATTCAAAAAGCATTTTTTTTTAATTCAATAAAAATGTTTTTTAAAAGGTAACTGACAACTGCAGGAATAGCACAGTGATTTCCATCTTTAGTTTAAAGCTACATGCCTTCATCTCTTTATGAACTAATTTGCTGTAGAAATTCTCAATTCAAGTAAATGACTTTTTTCTATCGGCACTTTTTCTGTTTTACACAGAAATTGAAATATATCAAATTACTTATTAGTGTCTTAAGAAAATTTAATACCTGATGCAAAACAGGTCTGTCTTTTTAAAGAAATAAAAAATATTTTAAAGAAATAAAAAAATACTGTAAAATTTCTTCCCTCCTCACCTCTCCAAATCCTTTCTACGTTAACAATCTTTATCTCTTGATTACTGATGAATAATCTAAACCTAAATAGTAAAGCCCATGGATAAAGAGTCAGGTCCTATATTGACTAACTGTTTCCAAAATAGATGATTCATATACTGTGTGCCAATTTTTTTATGTCAAAATAAAGCTCTAGTTATCCAACAGTTGTCTTTCATAGTGCCTGACAAAAGCACCACATAATGGAATTTGATTGACCTCTTAAGATACAGTTCTTCATGAAATTCATTGCAGCACACCATTTGTTTTTATAAATATATATTTAATAGCTTGTTTAGCAATTAAGTTTAGCAATTTAGCAAAAACTCCAAACACTTTTATAGGTCTACCTATAACATCAGATCATGCTTCTACTATCCCATACCATTTCAGTCCAATAATTTGGCACCGTCGTAACATACATTCAGATGCTGTGGAAAACATCCTTATTCTTAGGAGTCTGTAATCAAGCTGACACCACCAACTGTCTCTCAAAAAATGCACCTACAGTCCACAAAAATGTAAAATTCGACTGAAGATTTTAAGTCATTTTTCAAAGCAGGCCCTGTTACTCGTGGATTATGGAAGCTTTTCAATGGTCAGACAAGAAACAAAGCTTTGATCCTAAACTACTTTGCATAATATTATTTACTCTTTTTAAGTCCTTGTATTCCTGCTTCCCTGCCTCCCACCCATCATGACTTGCAAAGTATCGGGAGGAAGAGGGGCCAATTCTTTTCACAGCAGAGCCAAACTTAATACCACTCTGAAGTGCCTGGCACAAGTTCCTCTACAGATCCAACTTGAAAAAGACAGTCTGTGTTATCTGCATACAGATTTCAGCCACCATTTACCAAACGAAACAGCAATTATATATTATAGGTAGATTTGCCTCATATTAATGTAGGTAGGAAAATGTCACAGAACTAGATTTTTGCTTTTCCATTTTAAATCTGTCACACAATTTTGTCAAAGGGAAAGCGCTCAGCGAGGAATCTGTGCTTGGTGCATGACAAGGCATAAATACAGAGCACTGAAGACTGCACTGACAAATTTCAGCAAATGCTTTTTTCCTTCTACCCGATATGTATCTAATATTCTGGACACATAGACATGCACTGTAGGCTTTATATAGTATGCATGTGAGGGTTTTAGTGGGGTTTTTTTGTTTGTTTGGGGGATTTGGGTTTTTTTTTGCGTTCCAGGCAACAAGATGGGAGAATAGCAATGTTCAAACGACACCTTTATTGTGAGCATTAATGAATCTCTACCGCAAGGAGCTAGAGCTGTTCACAAAACCCCCTGCTTTCTTTGTGCTCCCCACACAAACACACACATACAGTCACTGCTTTCTTCACAGAAGAGAAGAAAAACAGTGAACTTCCATGTCACTTTCTTGATTTCATAAAACACACTCAGATTTTTCAGCAAAAAGGGAAACATCCCTTCCTCTGTGAAAAAAATCACAATGAAACAAAGTAAAATTATCTTGGCACACGTCCCAGAATTAAAAAAGTAACTTTTTTGATCTGATGAAACACATACCGAACTGCAGTAAATTCAAGCCATCTCTCAATGCAATCCTACAGCTAATACAGAGAAACAGAAAGTACCGACTACTTTTCAAGGTTTCTAAAAAGAATGCTAATTCCAAGCAGTCTAAACGGCAGCGCATTAAGTGAAAAAGATTCTGTTAACAGACCTTGTAATTACAGCTGGTATTTGTGTTTTTCCTCTTTTGCTCAAAATTCTTACAATCTTGGTATTTAGCTTTGCTTGTCCTTCTACAATTCTGTCTATCCATGAGGCTCCCGTTTTCTTTGTACACTTAAAATTGAGATGCCACCAGAATTCACTTAAAGTGCTTTAGAACTCCTTTAGTCTGACATTTATTTTCTTTGTTATCACGAACACCACTGAAAGTCACAGCAAAAGCTGCCACTTACTTCAAAAGGTGTACCATCAAACCCTAAAATCACCACCACCAAACACGAAAAGGCAAGAGAGACTGTACTGTTTTCTACTTTCTACCATATTCCTAGGAATAGATTAAAGCTTGTTCGAAAGTCCAAAGTCCATAAATAGTTGCTGCTGGAAGGACAAAACTTACTGTTCAGTACATTCTCCAGTTTTTGCGTCATGGATCCTTCTACTTTTTCCGTTCCATCCGCTTCCAGTTTTTGATGGATTGCTGGAATAAAGTGTCTAGTTAAAATGCAGAACATTTTAATAGGTGGGAATACATTACATCAAAGTGACACTTTTAAACATTTTTAAAATTAAAAATAAAGTGTTATTTTTCTTGTTAGACATAAAAAATACAAACATGCTTCATGGCAGCAGAGTCTAGTGGAAGACAGGGCTTAGAGCCAGACATTGCTTTATTTTAACCATTGCTTTGACACAGGCTTCCTGTATCTTCTTGAACAAGACACTAATGCCCAAGGGAAAAAAAATGTGGAGAGAATAATCCCAATTAGCAATCTTGTAATACAAGTGTTAATTCAACTCACTATTTTGAAAATTAAGCATCATTTAAGCACAAAATACTTTTGCTTCGTAAGGCAAAATTTTTACACTGATCTCACCAAAAAGGAACTAGCAATAGTTAAAGGGTAGAGAGTCATGGGGAATTTGGGTGACCCCAAAACCAAGTGCTAGAACACTTCCCCACCAGTTGTTTTCAGGTATAAAAATGCACTCTCAAAACACAATTTAAGAGTATCTTGTAGCAACACACAGCATTAACAATTACACAGAAGCATTGCGATGCTTTTGCTCAAAACAACCTGAAAATGGAGGGAAGATGCTATTTTTCTCCTATTCTAAAATGCCAAAAGCCCCAATTCTTGTTTTCACGTGGTATTACTAATGTATACGGAAATGCATAGTACCAGCATTAATTTGTTGTTTTATTACAATTCCTTTTTCATGAAGAATTCTTTTACCAGCAGACCCTGACTACAGTATACCGCTCTGGAAACATGAACAGTGAATGGAGCGTAGGTATTCCTCCCTTCTACTTCCCCTCTCTTGCACAGCCTTCCTTCCCTCCTCTTCTCTGTTCAGTACAACTGGCACAGATTTGTGTTTCTTATTCCTCTTTTTTTCCCCCCCTAAGGTAGTATTCCTGTATATATGCATACAGCATATACAAAGCAACTATTTAAAAATATGATTTTCCTTTCAAATTTTTAATCTGTTAACATATGTAAAATCCACTCTATCAAATAGCCATCAGTTCCTGTTGCTTCAGATAAAATTAAGGCTTCTAAAAATCTTTCTACTGTTTCCTGCTGGTTCACAGTAGGATGAAGTGAAGCTAAGTTACCCTTGAAAACAGTGATGCTCAGTGCTTTGAGGAAACTGAGTAATAATACATTTAGTTCAAAACACAAATACAGCGTTGAAACCAGTCTCCCAATTGCCCCAGCTTATCTTGCTTTGGTTTGCACGGCAGAGCAACCCGAGTCCCTCAGCCAGACCCTTTTACGATGAAGAAAAACTAAAAGATGCACTCCATGAGTATACCTAATGTGCTCCAGGAGATAACTGGAATTCAATCCAATGGGTGATACTTGAGCTAGACTAAAATACCACCCCAAACTGCATGTAATATGCACATCAAGGTGTCATCGCTAACTGTTTTCCTCTACGACATCATCCCTACTTGCCCATGTTATGTAGATGCAAATAAAGAAAAAGCAAACATGGACAGAAACTACCTTTAAGTAAGGCAGCTCTGTGGCCTCAGTCCTAGAGAGGGTGGCTATTCTGAAACAGGATGACCCTTGATAGTCTCCAGCCTCCCTCAAAGGAGGAATTTTTTGGGGGGAGGGGGGTGGTGGTGCAAGTGATTTAAAACAAACAAAACCAAAAAAAAAAGAAAGAGAGAGAAAATACTCCATTTTCTCAAACATCTAAATTTGACCCTCTAACCCCTTGACCTTACACAAAGAATTTTAAGAAGCTTTGCTTTCTTGAAAATGTAAGAGCACCTCTTTATTTTTGTTATTAAAGTCATTATGGCGGGGGGGGAAAATCTAACTTAGGACACCACATTTCTTAAGACAACACTTAAATGAAATGAAGTAAAAATAACAGATTTTTGCACATTTTAAGGAACAGAGGTCTACCTTAAAAGATGGTGTGTTGTTAATTGTAGTGCATATTTTATATATGAAATGGACACCTCTTACCCACAAGAATACATCTACAATTTTATAAGTCAGAATATTTAAAGGCTTGCAAACTTCAGACCTGTGGTGAGATACTAAATAATAACAGTAAAGAGACTAAGTTTAGCGCTCACAATCTCTAAACTGTCACTAAATGCTTCAATATTGGTTATTTTTGGTCAAAATGCATGCAAAAAGTTCAGTATGGCAAATAAGCCATAGTACAAGCCTTGTAGTAAAATAAAGTGCAAATAATTTATTGCTGCTTGTGTTGAAAATAATTTTATTTAATCTACGGAAGGATATGGTTTTCTACTTGGCAACCGTAAATCTAAAATTAAACCACACTTACCACTATTATGCAGTTTGACTTGCAGATTGCATTCTTGATTTACTCATTAGATATTTTTAAAGTATATTTTGAGATAGGCACCAAGAGTGGTATTCTCAAAATTTCCCCAGCCTAACTCAGCTTCAAAGCAAATAGATGCAAGTTTTCTACCATTTTTCTGATTAAAAGATGGATAGAAGCGCACTTGACATATCTAAAAATCTTACCCATTTCCACAGAAATATGGTAACGGAGAAGAAAAAAAAAAATCTGAAACTAATCAAACCCTTTTTGTCAGATGCAAAAAATAAGAGCAGGAAAAAAAAAAATACGAAAAAGGAAAGACTGACTAGCAAAGTATTTCTGAAGATCTGTTGCAGTAACTATAAAGAACTTGGCACCAAAGCACAGTAACGGAGGGATGAAGAACACATGTTAGCACGATGCCAGGATTCACGCCAACGCATGAATAGAAATGCCTTTGGTTCCATTTATCAAAAGATTAACAATTTTCTGTAATTTGAACAAAACATAAGAAGGTTATTGATGAGGACAGCACTCCTATGTAGAGTAAAAACTCTTCTGATTGGAGTCAACAGGAGTGCACAGCTATATATAACGAGCAAAGCAACACATAAAGACAGCATGTCATGAACAGAACTGGTAGAACATTACACAATGAAAACCTAAAAACCCTAGAGTTTGTTACTATGGCCAATAGCCAATACGGCTAACTTTTTTTTATTGGGTTTGGGTTTTTCCCCCAAAATTTCTAGATATTTTTGCAAACTGCATGGCAAACTTGGCTTTATTTTTGTAAACACTGCTAAACCAAGCAAAAATTACAAAATATTGAAGTAAATGTAGTATTGTCTTTAATAGCCTTCTTGTGTTTTGTTTCTCTCTAGCATTTACTTTTTCAAGCTTGCTTACCTAACACAGTGGCAACAACCAAAGAAAATGGACAGACTTAAAAAGATTAAAAAAAAAAATATTAAAGCACAGTGCTAGGAGGGGAGGTTATATGGCAATAAGAGACCAAAAACTGCAGTCTCACCAACACTGTGAGGCCTGATAACTTTGTTCTCACACAGGTTTATATTTAAGCAAGTGTGACATTTCTAAGCAAATATCTCAGAAATGGACAGGAAAACAGAGTTTATTATTCTGCTTATGGATACACTAAGAATTCCAGGATTGGACCCAGGCTTTTGCCAGGATACTTCAGAATTTTAGAGTATGGGAAATGCTATTCTCTTTTTACTGACCCAGTGATGTGAATATGAGCCTTCTGGATTTATGACAGCTACTAGTAGAAAGAAATAAAAGCAGCTTTTAAATGTTGAATGTATTTTAAAAGTGGTATGGAAATCAAAATAGCATGATATAACATGAAATTAAGCTGGTTTTATGGCTTGTAGGTCAAGTCTGGCTCAAATTTAATCATAGGTAATTTTTGTACCCTTGCCATCAACTGAAGTATTTCCTATTTGAAAACTGCAAGTGCAAACTAATCTTTCTTTCTGATGCTTTAGTATTTCTCAAATGCAAACAAAAAAATTGAGCTTACCTGAAAAACACAAATTCATAAAACATGACAGCCACAGTAGCTAAAAGCTGCCGTGACTGCATCCATTTGGAGAAATTCTGCTAGTAATTACTTTACATCTCTAAAACAATTAGCAATTTAAAAGAAGCTATATGAGCAGTCAGCATAAAGCCAGGTACAGGCTTCGGCACAGAAATTTCACTATGGACTGAGACAACTCCTGCTGTTTCACAGTTTTTCAAATCAGACCATCTTTTGCTTGAGACACTGAAAAAAACCAACACCCTAGACAATGCTATGCTAAAGCCTGCATGAATGAGCCTTTTTATCAAGCACTACCATAGAACTTTTGCTTCTTTAGAGTTGCATTAAGATAATAATTGGTCTGCCACAGAAATTGATTGTAGACATTGCATGAAAAAGAAGCATCCACCTGAGACTAACCTACCTACCACCACTTACAGACTTCACTGGCACTCCTCTGCCAGGTCCTATCTCTCTCAGTATACATTGCTCATTGCAATGTCCCCCTTGTTATCTAGCGCTGCAAGATCACAACACAAGTTTTCAACAATCAAACTTAAATCAGCATGCCTATTTTTTCACTCTGCATTCGTGAGAAGGCCCATAACATAAGGACAAAATACGTAGCAATGATAGTGCAATTGCTTCTTATTCAGCAATTTTTTTTTGTGTAAAAGCGCAGCACAAGGATACCTCAAACCTTCAGACATGAGCATCCGCTTGGAAAGCTAGACAGTGAGCCTAGAGCATATCACCTATTGCTTCATGACTACCTAGAGGCATGATCTTAATTCTTAAACTGAAATAATCTAATTGGCATCTACTGTGGGGCACATACATGCAGGTAAACTGTTACTGTGAAGGGGCTGATATGCTGTTAGATACATGCCCGCTACATGCGGCGTCTTAGTTTATCCTTGCCAGCTTGTTTCCATGGCCCTGTTCTTTCTTAACCGCTATGAATTACCATATCACCCTAGAATGGGTCTTAGGGGATGAAGTGTAAAAATATTCTATAGGAAGGAAAAAAAACCCCACCAAACCAAAAAACAGGCATTGACCAGATATAGGATCGTTTCGACCAGGTAAACATTATCCTAGCACATGTATTACGCAAGGTATTAGACAAGAAGCCAACTACAGTTCCCCATCACCCTGGCATTCCCATAGGTCATATATCTGAAGAGGAGTGGAAAGGGAAAAAGGAGTAGTGCTGTGATAGCCAGCGGTGCTTCCTTTGTATAGATTTTTTTCTGAAAATCATGTAAGGTATGTTTGTAGTTGCAACTGCACAAGAACAACTGTTGCCATGACAAACTGGAAAATCAAATCTAAATCTCAAATTTGTTCAACATATCTGTGTTTCAAAGACAACACAGCATCTTCTTTACTTGCCAATATGGATGTCATACTTGCATGGTTTTGCATAATTGAGCAACTGAAGTAGTCATTTCCCTATTTTTTTTCCTTTCACTTAAATAAAAAGAAACTCTGCAGCCTAAGGCTCTTTCTAAAGAGCACTTGTGAAAAAGCATATTCAAAATAAATGGACTTTCTAGCTTTCCAAAGGCTTCTGTGTGGGACACGACTTGCTCACGAGAATAAAACATGACTCGTCTACAAGCATATAAACAGCAGCCCTTTCAGAAATGCTACTTGTTAGGTTGCAGTTAGAATTATGAGAAATAAATCAGCTAAACAACTCGATGTTGCCAAGTGGGTCAAGCTGAGGTGAGCCCAGTTCCCCTCAAGCTCATCTTACAGCTCCCTTCAGCCAAGGAAACAAACTTCCTGTTGAACATCTCCTCTGCAGCAAAGTCACTGTCAAACTGTCAGCCAAGCTAACGGGCAGCGAGACACCAGGATCTGATAAGGCAATGCTATTTTCCAAGAAATTAAACCAAACAAGCAAGGGTTCTGCCCTATTTGCCCTCCTATTTTCTTAGTAAACGGCTTCTAAAAATCACAAAATACAATAAACGTCTCGGGATAGCTTTTTATGGTTTTCATTGCTGACTTGTGAAAATATTAATACTCATTTAAATGCGTAATACAGTCTGATAGCACGCTTAAGATCAGACTGATCTTACTGATCCCAGCTAATGAAAAAAGCAGCACCATAATCAGCAGTTCAGGGCTTCCCAGATCAAGTTTGCGTGTTTGAAAAACATTGTTAAAAGGATATGAGTTCAAAAAAGCTCATAAACAGATGCACAAACAGATTAATATGAAGTACCTGGTAAAGCAAGCGTTACACCTCTTAAAGAGAGCCTCCGACAAAAAGGAACATCCTGTACCAATTTAGGGAGACCTAGGAGGAAAAACTGTGCACAGATAGCTCTGCTCTACAACAAGAGAACTGACCTAGAGTTTATAAAGCACTGGGTTTGGAAGTTGCGTTCTGGGATATCTGGAGGGGAAACCTGAAAGCCTAAACTTTTGCCCATCAACAAAAATGTATCTTCAGAAAATGCATTCGATTTTAGAAATCTTCCCAGAGGACATGAATTTGAAAAAAAAAACAACCAACCCAAACCAAAATAAAGCAGCTCAGGAAATTTAAATCATATTGGAAGACAGTATTCAGTAATGATTTTCCCTTGAGTCACTTTTCATCTGCGACAGTTGTATGCTCAGTATCAAATAATGAAAGTTTGTAGAACCAAGACTGCATCCCTAGCAATTTGTGCTGAGACAATAATTCAGCTTTCAAATATAAACTATTCTTCATGTAGCTTTGTTTAAATGCATATAAATTCTAGTTACACCTTTTTAGAAGAGAAAATAAAACACAGAACTTCACCCTTACATATCACCTTGCACAAACACTGTATAAGTGGAGTATAATTGGATTTTTAATTTAATGTTCTTCTGTTAAAGAGCTTTAATTTCAGAGTTCCATGCCTAAGAATTAATGGTGTGCGTTTGGGTTTGGTGATTTTTTTTTTTTTTTTGGTTTGGTTGTTCAGTGGTTTGGGGTTTTTTTGGTTGGGGCTTTTTTTTTTTTTTTTAAATTTTGCATCTGAGCTGTTTCTCTAGATCAATGCTAATAATGCTTACACTTAATTCTTGCCAACTTTCCTTTGAGAAAACTGTAGTGATCCACTGTTCTGGAGAAAAGCTTTGACATCTGACAGGAGGGCTGGATGATGGCATCAAAGATCCTTTTTTCTTGCTGCTACTGAAGCCTCTCCACACCCAGCTTAGCTGTTGACTGTACCTATCACAGGTTCAAGTCTTTCAAAAGTTAAGCAATTTTTCCAGCTACACTTTCTCGAAAATATTCTGCACAAGGGGGAAGAAAGGGCAAATAGGTAGTTCTGCATTACAAAGCTGAAATTCGTATGCAGTAAGAGGTTTTTTTTTGACTGAAAAGAATCAAAACCACTTCTGTGCATGCATTTAATAGGAAATTTCAACAGAAAAATACATATTAAAATGCTACAGAAGGCAACTGTGACCTGCATTGCATTCTCATTAAGAATTTGGTTTCAGAATTTAAACATTAAATATTGTATCAGTCCCTTGAACTCCAGTGTTACAGCTTTGAATTTGTAAGAGATTAAGACTTCAAGTCTCTAATTTTCTTCTACAACAGCATCAAGGCCATTCTTTCTTAGAACTATTTTAATTCACTGTTTAAAACAATACAAGCTACAAGTCTGCTTCCTTTTGAGCACTTAAGCGGGATCACTGGGGGGGACGACAAAACCAAGCCATTTTGGTTACAGACAAAAAGTGGCAGCAAGAACCATGTGAGCCATCCCAAGTTTTGAGTTCATAATTTATCTAAAGCACTGCACTAATAAACTCTAATTTTAGGTAAAAATAACAATCCCATACAGATAAGAGATACAAAACAATATTACAGCTATTACAATTTTTTAAAAT